TTAATTATCTAATTAAGTATCTTCCTTAATTATAGCTAATTCGAATTTTTATTTTCCCCTTTAAAGTAAAGGCCGCTAGTTACGCGACTTTAATAGAAATAAAGAGGTATAAAGTAAAAAAATCTCTAAGACTTATATTAATAACCTAAGACCCTTAGAGCTATATATAGGACCGATAATTAGATAATTATATAGTTAATTGCTCTATTAATCCTTAGCTATATACTACGCGTGCTTTAAGTATATACCCTTATCCCTATTAAAATACTTACTAGCTTAATTATTTAGCTTTACCCTTTCTATAAGGGTATACTATAGCTAAGGGGGTATACTACGAAGTATAGCTTAATTTATATTCTTAGAGATATCTTTTAGTAAGAGGGACCTAAGAAGCTAAAAATACCTAGTATAGAAGAAAGAAGTAGGAGCTAAAAGGAAATATAAAGAAGAGGGTAGGGGTATAAGGGGAAGTAAAAGTAGTAATAGCTTCTTATAGAAGTAGTAAGAAATAAGATAGATATACCGGTAATAGCTAGAATAAAGGAGAAAAGCTAGTAAAAAGCTTAGTAGTTATAAGGATATTAGTAGCTTCTTTAAGTAGGATCTTCTTTATTAATTAAGATACTAAATAGATTTAAAGAGGGGCGTGCTAGTAATAGCTAGAAAAGAAAGGGAAAACTAGTAAAAAGCTTAGTAGTTAAGAGGATATTAGTAGCTTCTTTAAGTAGGATCTTCTTTATTAATTAAGATATTAAATAAGTAGAAAGAGAAGAGTTAAATAAAAGAAAGAAGGAGAATTAATATAATATAATAATTACTCCCCTACTATAATTACTACCCTTATAAGAATTAAATATCTTTGCCTTACTTATCTAACCCCTTACTTTTAACTTTACCTTTATAGATATTTATATACTTCTTATATCTCTCTTCGTAAGAATTATAAAGGTTATATAGGCTTAATATAGTTACTTAAAAGCTCTAGATAATAAGCCTCTTTATATAGAGACTAAGTAAGATAGCCCTTTAAAGGTAGCTTATATAGAGCCTATCTTCGTTTTAATATATTATTTAAATAAAAGCTTAGAATTAAAAAAGACCCTTAGCTACTATACTAAGGGCTTTACTTTAAAAAATAGGCCTCTTACTATTACACCCTTTAAAATAAGCTTCCTTTACCTATTAAAGTAAATAAGCTTTATCTTTAAAGGGTTAAAGTAGACCCCTTAGTCCTTAGCTTATTTAAATAATTTAGTAGCTATAGCTTTAAGCTATTAAACGTTCTTCTTAGCTAAGGTTAACGTTATAGAAATACTAAAGTTATTTATATAGGATAGCTAGTATTACTTAGCCGCTAGTATCCCCTTTTCTTTACTTCTTAAAGTAAAGATAAAAATATAGCTAGGTAATTCTTTAAGAGAGGTACTTTTACTACCCCTTTAAAAGTTAAAGTAAAAAAACTAATTAAAAAAGCTACTTTTAGATCTTCTTATTGTTCTATAAAAGAAGGTATAGAGAGGTAAGTATATTTTAGCTCTACTATTTTTCTATACGTTTCTTCTTTATTTAGATTATTTAATATAATAGCTTCCTCTTCTTCTTCTTTATAGCTAGTATTATCCTTTACTACTTTAACGTTAGTTTCTTCTTTTATTTCTTTATTTAAGACCTCTTCTTAAGACTATTAAGAAAGGAGGATTTAAATCTTTTAAATTAGCTAATATTAAGAGAGTAAAAGGAGCTATTAATCCCTCTTTTTATTAAAGAAGCTAGATTTATCGAAAATTATATCCTTAGTTAAAATAACCTTTTATAAAAGAGGAACCTAGATCTAAAAACATTTATAGAATTATAGCTAATAAGGTATCTAATAAAGACTTTAAGATTAAGCTTTCTTTTCTTCTTTCTTTTTAGCTAAGTATTAATAATTATTATATATACCTTATAGTTATAAGTATAAAGGTAAGCTAGCGAGGCCCTTCTTTTTATAAAGAGTTTAAGGGGGGATTTCTAGTCTATTTCTTAGGTCTTAAATAAGGCCTTTAGGTCCCTATAGTCCCTTAGGTCCCTAGGGTCCCTTAAGGTTTAGTTCTTAAAGTAATAAGCGGTCTTAACGATTTCTCTTTAAAGGTTATTAAGAAGCTTTATAGTAAGTCTTATTATATAGGCCCTTTTTATAATAGCACGTTTTAATCTTTCTACCTTACTATTATAGGCCTAGGTATTAAGTGCTAATAAGACCCCCTTTTTAAAGCTAATTTAAGATATCCTTTATAAATAGCTCTTTATTAAATAATATCTTCTTTACCTTATAGCTAAAGTAGGATTTTATTTAGTTAATAAAGTCTTAAAAGGTAAACTAATTCTACTTACTTTAATAAGTTTATAAGAAATAAGGGAAAACTATCCTTAAAATAATATCTATAAAAATATTACTTAGATAAAGCTTTCTTAGTCCCTAGAAATACTAGTTTAGTTAACTTAAATTTCTTTATATAGCTAGTCTAGCTATAAAGAGTTTCGTTTAGAAATTTATTTCTTAGTCTTTCTTTAGCTTTAGTTCTTATAAAGAGAGATATAAAAAGTATATATAAAATATATAAAGGTAAAATTAAAAGTAAGTAGTTAGATAGGTAAGGTAAAGATATTTAATTCTTATAAGGGTAGTAATTATAGTAAGGGAGTAATTATTATATTATATTAATTCTCTTTCTTTCCTTTATCTAACGCTCCTCTTTATACCTATCTAGCATCTTAATTAATAAAGAAGATCTTACTTAAAGAAGCTACTAATATCCTCTTAACTACCGAACTTTTTACTAGTTTTTCCCTTTATTCTAGCCGTTACTAGTATATCCGTCTTATCTCTCGCTACCTCTATAGGAAGCTATCGCTACTTCTACTTCCCCTTATACCCCTACCCTTCTCTCTATATCTCTTTTTAGCTCTTTCTTTTAAACCGGTTTTTTAGCTTCCTAGGTCCCTCTTACTAAGGGATATCTCCGAGAACTACGAAATTAAGCTACGCTTTATAATAGAAGTCTCTATAAAATATCTATATAATCTACTAGGTTATTATTTCTAGGATTTCTAGGTAATTTCCTAGAGTTTACTTAGTAACTTCTAGGATCCTTCTTCTATAAGGAGTCTTAAGGAGTTAATAGTAACTTCCTTAAGGGAAGTAAATACTATTATAGGTACCTAGATTATCGATTTTAAGGTATCCTATAATAAATTACTTAGGTAGATTTAGTAATTAGCATATAAAGGAAGGTACTAAGCCTTACTTATAACTTTTAGAAACTATATATATATATAATAAGATCTCCCATTTAAAACCCCGCGATAACTAGGTTAGTAATAAAATCGATTATCGGAAGCACTAGCTATAACGTGCAATTATAGCTTTCCGGCACTATAGTAGCCAGAAACTTAGGAGGTATTTTATAAGACTAGTATGACAGTAGCAGGAGATATAACACTCACTAATACCACTCCCATCTAGGGGTGCCCTCATTTTGGCCAAGTGGTATTCAATGTGACACATTCCCCTTCCAAAATCAAATAGTAGCATTCTAAAAGCGTGCGAATAGCGGTTCAGCCGGGCTGGATGCAGTGCCTCGGCCATGCCGCACGCCGTTCTGAAGCAGCAGCGTGGCGCGGCTTCAGCACACGCGTGGCCAGCGGCGGGAAGACGGTAGATGACAGACCGTCCCCTCGCGCCTCAACCACAACCGGTGACCCGTGTGGCGTCCAGGAAGGAGGACCTCGTCATCGTCCGGCCCCCGTGATGACGCCCATTCCATTCCATTCTACGGCACGTCGTGGCTGCTTCGTCTCTTGCTGGCCCCGCCGCATGTACAGTACCCGCAGTCTGCGCTGGCGCCTTTTGCGAACTGCAGGGTGAGCGGCATGAGACAAGCCATGTTCGTTTCATTCCCCGGCGGCCAATCTAGATGCATCGAGGAGGCGACAAAGCGAAGACAGTTGAGCCAAGAACCTAAGAATACGGGGGCAAGAAGAACCCCGCTACCCCGCCTTTATCGATAAGCACCGCGGGGTCGTCACGGCAGCCCCGCTCCTCCCCCCTGGCCGTCTCCCGCCATCCATGTTGACGTCTGCTTGCCCTGTACTTACCGTAATTATATAGTATATACAAGAAGATGAAAACGCGCTCGCTCCCGTTCTCCCAGTTCCTCCTACAATTCGTCTTGTTCCACCTCTCCCTCTCTTCCACAGGGCAGCATCCGTAGATGGCGCTGCCACCTGCGCTGGTCGACGAGGGAAAAAGAAAGCAGGCACACCGGCAGGTGAGTCAGCGGAGAAGGTGGGTGTCATTTGGCGGCACTCGCATGTACAAGAATGTGAGAAAGGAGCGGCAGACCGGGGAGGACATGTGCTTATCGACAGGATGCGGCGCAGTCAGGCAAAGGCGGGGGCGCAAGTTGTTTGAGCCGGAAGCGTCGTGAGTGGCAGTCAAGTTGCGGCTGCCGAGGGGAGTGTCTGTAGACGGGGGCGGATATCAAAGGGGTCCTCACCACTTGCATACGAGCATCGCCGAGACGCAAGGATGGGAGGGAGGGAGCTGCTGCAGCTTAAATTAGCGGGGAGCTGCTGACTAACGGCCAGGGGGGCCGGGCACCACCACGTTTCCTTTCCAGCGGACATGGACTGTTCATCAACTAGCTGGCCTGCTCTCTTGCGTAATTGGTGGGATCTTTCTACGCACTTCCTACTCCGTACAGGACATAAGGTTACAGCACGAGAAGCAAGCTCAGAGGCGAGGAGCGTTGCTCTGCTAGGGTCTGGCGCACATGCGTGTACATCCTTCATGTTCGTGTAAATCTAGCCTCCAGTGGTATCAAAACTCTTTCCGTGACAATGAGACGAGGCCAACAAAAGAAAAGTCCGTCGCGTCCATTAGGCCTCGCATGCTTTACAGGTATACACGCATACGCACAAGAGTCCGGGGCTCACCCGCGCGCCGAGACGAGACGCCCTTACTCCCAGCGGTAGACACCATCGTCGTAAAGCACTCTGTGCCGCCGACTGCCTGGGCCTACTGTCGCCCGCCGCCGCGGCACCAGCCTCTCCCGCAGCCGCGCCCGCTGCGCCTCGTCCTCGCCGCGCTCGCGCTCGGCAAGCCTCTGCTCCTCCTCGAGCCGCTGCTCCTTGACGCTGAGCCGCCGCAGAGCGTCCACGAGCTCCGCCTCGCGGTCCGTTGCTTTGCTGCCGCCCGCCTCCGCGACTGACACCCGCCTGCTGGGCGTGGATGACATCGGCACGGCGGGGCGGTGCGAGATCTCGGCGTTGGCCTCTGCGATGCGCCGCCGGATCCGCAGTTCTCTCACCTCCTTTTCCCGCAGCTCTCTCTCCAACGTCTCGACCTCGCGTATGCGACGTGCCTCGCGCCGCCGCCGCCGCTGGAGAAGCTGCTCCTCGGCAACTGCGTCGTCGTCTTCAACCTCGGCGGCGCTCGAGTAGTAGGCCCGGCTGCTCCCACGCGAGCTGGCCGACGACTGCCGCGTATGCTGGCTACTCTTCGAGGCCTGGCGGCGCGGCGCATCGACCACCTCGATCTGCACATATGGGCGCTGGCGCTCGTCGACAATGACGGGCCGCCGCGAGAAGGGGGGATGCTCGGGCGTGTAGGGGGCGGAGGGGTTGAAGCTGGGAGACGAGGGAGCGGTATGGGGCGCGCTGAAAACCTGTGGCGGGGTGCGGGGGGTGGGCGGGTTGTCGACGAGGACGATGCGCTCGCGGCCGGAAGAGGAACGGTGGTTATCAGTGTGGGAAGGCTGGTGGTGCCCGTGGTCGGCTACGACTCGCTGGCCGGTGACGTAGACGCCGCTCGAGGGCCTGCGCGGCCTGCGCGTCGACGAGTTGCTGCGGTATGAGCGGTCCGAGTCGTCGGAGCGATAGAGGATGGGCGTCGAGGATGAAGGCGGCGTGGGGGGAAAGGTGTACGAGGCCGGACCGGGATAGACGGGAGCGGACGCCGAGGCCATGGGAACGGGCGCGTAATGAACGTATTGAGTGGGATGCTTGAGGACGACGTTGTCGACGCAGGGCTGGCCGTGGCGCGAGGCGTTGCACAGGGCCGGGCGTGTGCTCTGTCCGCGGCGCCCATCGGGATAGGCATATGCGTAGACGTGCGTGGTACACATGGTGACGATGTCTCCCGGATTGTGGCCGAGGAAGCGAGCTCAGGCAGAGGGAGGAGAGAACAAGTAGGTATTCGCCGGTGGGCAGAAGAGAGAAAGGGTATGAGGGACGGATGACGAGTGCTCTGGTTTTGTATGAAACAGCCTTTGCTCTTTTCACCGCCTCGTCAATGAGGTGAGAGACAGATGGTGGAGAGCGGCTGGGCCCGTGTAGGAGGGCTCGTTGGAATGTTGGTGGTAGTGGTTGGCGGCGCTCCGTGCTTCTGCAAGCGCGGTGGATGAAGACCAGTAAGCTACCAAGGTCAGGAAAGAGCCTGGAAAGCCGTGTGTGAATGAAGAAGAGGAGAGAGAGAGTGGAAAGGGAGGGAAGAGCATCGTGGGTATTATATCGCAAAAGCCGTCATGGTGTACGAGGTAGACGGGCGGGTACCTAGACCAAGCCCGGCCGGGGCGAACGATGGGCGTGCGGCCTCGAAGATGGTACTCCGTGCTGGCCCACACGACACGCCCCCCCATGCTGCATGGCGACCGCCAGCGGCATCAGCAGCAGCCGTGTCCGTGCCTCGTCAGGACCCTGGCAAGCCTTGCATGCCTCCCGGGGCGGCGTCTGGACGCTAGACGGCGTGGTGGGTGGTGACGGAGGCTGACCAATAGGCTGCGGCTGAGCCACGGCCTGGTGTTGGCGGATGAGAAGGAATCCGTGAGGCGAAGAGAGAAGGCATCGAGACATGAAGACTGATGATGGCGACGAGAGGAGAAGACGAAAAGGCGGCCAAAAGGCGTACTGCGTTCGTCCACAGTACCCGCACTGTGGAATGCGGCACGGCATGGCATGCCCACCAAAAGCCAAGAAGCTAGGGGCCCACCAGAACAGAGCCCACAGCCACACTTCTACCGTAGCGCCCGTACTGGTCGCACTGTACTACCTGCCCTGCACCTGGAGGAATGAGAGGAAGGCGCCCACCGTTGGCCCATTCCACGAACCAAGAGGCGGCCGCCTTTTCTCCCTTCACGCCTTTCCTCACGCCACACCAATCACTCTCGAGACTGGGCAACACGGCGAAGACGCGGACGAGAAAAACGGCAGCCGGCCAACGACAACTGACCAGGCGCTTGCTCAAACAGGGCCGCCCACGGACGCGGCCCCATTTCCTCCGATGCGGCCCGCAGGCCTCTCGCGCAGCGGCAGCAGCTTCGGGGCGGATATCGCGAACCCAGAGGCAAGCCCTCGATCACGTGGCCCGTCCTTTGCTGTCTTTGCTGTTGTTTATGCAGGACCAAGGCCAGTCAGTGTGAGTCACGGCGGTTCTGCCGATCTCTCTCGCGGCCCGTGTCGAGCCGTGCACGGATGGTCGGCGACGATGTCATCCGGTCTCTGTTCCCATCGTCCTACCCGGCCATTCCCCGTTCAGCCGCCAAGAGGCTATGTTGCTGCTGCAGCCTGGCTGGTAGAGGGCAAAGCCACAGACTAGCGACCTAATGTACTGAGCGACATCGCAAGCCACGGTGACGATATTGGAACTAGCGGGCACCCGGGCAGGGCTCTGCTAGGACCTGCGCCACGGACGAGCCAGTCGCCGTATCGTCTCCTCACAAGGCCGACTGACCCCTTCGTTTTGTGGGGATAGGACTATTCGTGGAAAGGGGTGAGATTATCGGCCCCGGGGATGCCATTCCGCATTCCTGTCTGTCTCTCCTTGCCCCTAGCCTCTTCAGCATGTACCCGCGGCGAGCCAGTTGCAGTAGATTGTGGTTGTCCCTGATGAACCAGTTCGTCATGACGGACATTGAGTCGCCTTCACTGCCTCATCCAGCCGACAGACGTAGGGGCGGGTGGTTCGGGCGGGAAAGCACGTCAGATCTGAGGTTCCTGGCCACAACCGACATGCCATGGCTGCGCAGCTGCTGGTACTGCCTACATATTCGTACTTGGTAACTTACGGAGTACAGTGGGAGCAAAAACCAGTCGCGACAGATATCCTTAGTCAACAGCAGCCCTTGCAGTGAATCGTGGAGCCCAGCCCATGCGCGGTGACGATGCTGCCTCTCTTGTTGCTCGCCGGTATGACACACGCACTCGGGACGGGCTCGAGAGACACGAGACAGAAACATTGCACGAGGACAGGATTGAAAAGGAAATTGAAAAAAAAAACCCGCATCTCCCTGGTTCATGATGCTCGCTGTCATTGGCTCGTGGCCGCGACTGGTCGAATGCGCCCGTGAGCTGGACAATGCACAGAGCAGATGCAAGGCGTACTTGGACGCATCTCTCCGCCGCGCCCGCTGTCCACGGTAGGTTCTTGTCAGAGCAGAGAAGGACTTATAATACGCGTTAATAACACCTCCAATGGGGGTGCCCCTATTTTGCATGGTGTAGCGGTATTTTACCAGCTTGACTGTTCTTGTTCGACAGTAACGTCCATTGGCCAAAAGGGCAGAGGGCATCGCGGCAGCGTGGGTGTTCGTCCTTGGCAGTACTCCGTACTGCAGTCTCAAAAGGCGTCCGGGGCCTTCCATGCCGCCATGATTCGCCGGCTGCCTCATTGATGCTGAGGGCGATCGACCAGCAGGACATTCGGTAATTAAGCTACAGGACAGAACGCCACTTGCGGAGAATGAACCAGGGGTCCGGGACGGGCGTGCTTCGCAGAGGCGTCGACGTCTCATTACACTCTGTGTTGCGTGAGCGATCGCATTTGCGTGCCAAAATCGCTCCCGAGACAAACGACGTGGATGAGAAACTGTTCTGCAAATTAGGCCACTGATTGCAGACGACTTCCATCATCCCTGGTCACAATGGATACGGGTGCTGGATATGGGTGCTTCCCAAGTCGTCCGCTGTCGAGTCTTCATTCCCATCTCGAATGCATTCCTCTTGTCCTCTCTTTCTCTGCCACAAATGACAGGCACCAGGCACAGGCGGTCCCTGGGCTCATTCCAGCGGGCGCTGGGGCAGCTCCGGTGGCGCATTGGCAGCCTTGCAGCAGAGGGACGGGGCCCAGGCCCAACACGACCCACAGTCTCCAGGGGACCCCCCAGCCAGTTTAGCTCTCCCGCCTGTCCCATCGGTTTTTTTCCCCTCCACGATCCATCCGTCATGGGATCCTCCGCTCGCGACGCCCGGCCGTCTACGGCCCCCAACGGTCGCACGCGGAGGCCGCCTTTCGGGGCAATTGCCTTCGTCTTGTCCAGCTTGAGCGTGAGCTGTTTTGGCTGTTTCGGCTGCTGCCGTTGGCTGTCCTTTGCAGCAAATGATTGGCCTCCGATGTTCAACTTCGCTTGCCCGTTGGCCCTCTTTTCTCTCGTCTGTCTGGCCGACGCGCGCGCTTCTCAGCGCTTCTCTGCATCTTCCATCTCTCCATCGACTCGAAACGCTACCCCTGCGACGGCCGTGTCACAGGTCGCAGCCAAATTTTCGACACCTCGCCAGTCGCTTTTCTTCCCGTCATCGCCTGCTCCGCAAACTGCCATGTTGGCCAAGGGGCGAGGCCCACGGGCGTTTAACTCGACAAGACGGACCATTTGGCAGCGAAATCCCTCTATATCGACGAGTGATTTATGCATTCTGTTCCTCAAGCTTCCGGCAGCGTCGATCCGGCCTTGCCCACCCTCTCCCCTCCACTCTCCACACTTGGTGGCCCTGGCTAACCCGGGCACGCCGTATCCTAAAAACAGAACAGGTCGCTACGCGAGGCCCGCGTAGATTGGTCATCAGACGCCTGGCCCGCCGCGATGCAAGGGGCCGACTCCCTGGCGTCAGGCGTTGGCAACGGCGGTCATGTTGCGTGGCAGACGGAGATGGGCCTACGTCAGCCTCTTCCAGCGACTCCCAGCTTCTCCCATCCACCGCACCCCTTGTTGAGATTTCCGCCCCCATGCTTGGAGTCAACGTATCTCCTTGTGGCCACGACGCCACCCGCATCGTCTGCCTACATCGTCTGCCTACCTGCGGAGGCCTCTTCCTTTGCCTGCGTTGTCCTTGTCTTGGCCGTCTGCCAGCTCTCAACCTCGTTTGCCACGATCCTTGCATCGGAAAACTGCTGCCTGGGTCTCGCTCACCCGCTCATTTTGTCACCTGGTCTCTTTTCCAACCCTCGTGTAAGTTGGGCAGCCACATCGGGTCTCGCTCTTCGTCTTGCCTTGTTGCCTGCTGATGAATTGCGCAATCCCGTGTCAGCCGCAACCTGGCTTCTTCGGTCTTCAACTGTCCTCTTTCCCCTGGCCTTGTTGACGCCACTCACTTCTTCGTCTTCGCCTGTTAGCCTCGTGCCCTTCTCCTGTTGCCAGGTGGGCGCCCTTATTCGCCCGAGGCTGTGTGGCATTTGGGAGTGCCTTGCGGTGGACTGCTCTCGTCTCGTCGTGCTTGGGGAATGGCGCCCCAAGTGGACGTGCTGTAGACGTGAAGACGCAAACTCCATCAGCCCACTGGCCTGGACATAGAACCTGCAGACGTCTTCTTCAGAGCGTCAGCCGGATACCCCGAATATTCTTCGTCGGCAGCGCTGTGTTATTATATCTTCCCATCGAAATAATGCCAACCCTACACTTGCTCAAGAGGACGATCCTTACATGTCTTTGTCCTAATCGCTTCCCAGAATCATTATGCTCTCCCTGTTACTTAAGATGATTGGTCGGTGTCTAGCTCTACACACACTGTTGACTCCTAATACGCACAGGTGAGAGGGTTCAATGGTTCCAGCAAGTCAAACTTATCAGCGCTAGCTCAGGTCCGCGAGTCAAGCAATACGAGCGCGCCCTTGCAGGACATTAAAGGTGGGTACGTACTGGTGAAGGAGATCGGCTGACTTGGATTTCTGGCTCGTCCTGGCCAGCGTCCTCGCTTGTCTTGCCAACTCACTCCCTCTCACGGTTTCATGCAAAATGGACGAGAATATGGCGTACCACTGCTTCAGAATCGACAAAGGCGACCCCGACATCCGGGCTCTGGCTGACAGGTATAAGCACCTCCGGCTCGCCGCCCTGCAGCAATCCCCCTCTTCCTTCTCGTCCACTCTCGAGATTGAGGAGGCCTTCACCGACTACGCCTGGACCTCCCGCCTCTGCGCTCCCGGTAAGGAGACTTTCATCTGCTGCTGCGTCGCCGCGGAAAAGGCAGCGCCTCTGCAAGACCTATGGCTCGGACAGGTGACGCTCCTCGGGCCCATCTCCGCGGGCGCCTTCTGCCTCTCCGCCGACTCCACGCCGGAACAAGGCGGCGACGAGGAGCGGTGGCAGATGCTGAGCCTATATACCCTGCCATCCCACCGGGGCAAGGGCCTGGGCAAGATGCTATGCCGGGCGGCCTTTCATCATCTGTCGTCTCTGCAAGGCCCAAGTAGGGTCCGTGTGCGCATCATGGTCAAACCCGAGAACCAGGTGACGCTCGGGCTGTACCGTGGCCTGGGGTTCGTTGACGCCGGCCGTTGCACGCTGGAGGAGGCCCTGAAGGCCAACGGAGACGCCGACCTGCTACCTCGGGGGACGCTGCCGGAAAAGTACACCACGCGAAGCGGCATTGTCATGACGGTGAACTTGGATCGTTTGGAGCCGTCTTAATCAGTCACGGACGCCTGATGGACACCGTCGTCATGGAGCGGTTCTCCCACTCTTGGGATCCGTCCATGACTTCATCTGGCCTGGCATACCCTGATACATAGACATCAGCCCGTCAACTCGACCCCGTCGGCACTGTCGCCTGTTATTCAATGGCTACAACGGCGTCCTTGCTTGTACATTCAATGCAAAACGCTTCATCCAATGCAACACGCTTAAATCGAAGCTTCCGACCCTTCCTCCCTGTCCCCCGACCGCTGCACGCCCCCCATGTCAGATCATCGTGATGGCCAACCCGCTCTACCCTAGTGTCTGCTTCTCGGACGGCTCAGACACATGCTGCCTCTCACACGGAGCGAGAACGTGTGTCGGCGGCGGATCCGCCGGCTTGGTGAGCCGGTGGGCCAGCGACGAGGGCGCTGTTGTCACTACTCGGGGCTGAGGCTGAACGGCGTTTGTTCCGGGCGTCTTATTCCCGCCACCACTCAACTGCTGAGCAGCGGCTTTGTACATGTCGTCGACGGCCTGGACCTCGTCAAAGGGGTCGAGTGGACACCCAGCGAGACAAAACTCGCGCTCGCGCTGCTCCACGTACTCGCGCACCATCTTGAACTCTTCCTCGACGCGCTTGAAGCGATCCGGCAGGCCCGAGCCCTTGAGGTAAGTCAGGATCCCGGCGATGATGGTGTTGATCGCGCCAAAGGCCGTAATGGTGGCGCGGGAGCCGTCGGCTGCGCCCAGCGCCGTGAGCGCCGCGCCCATAATAAACTGAATGCCTAGGCAGACGTTGATGGCGATGTTAAAGAGGCGGTAACTGCGCGCAGCCATCTTCTCGGCCCTCACCACGCGCGTGTAGATGCCCACGTTCTCGGCGGCACGCTTGCCGGCGTGGCCAGAGGACGTCAGCGCAGGGACTGTGTCGATGCCTGTGAGCGACCGAAACACGAGCAGCTTGTCGTTTTGCGGGACAAGGGCGTCGGCGTCGGTGCGGATGATTGTGAGCGCGCGCCGCGGCTGGGGCCGTTGCTGCGGGTTCGCCATGTCTGCGCCCCCGCCGCCGTTGCCTTCATGTCCATGACCGCCAGTCGCGGCCATGACGGGCGGACGGCCCTGCTCTTCCCGGTCGTGTGGCGATATGACGCGCTCGACGAGGCTCTGGAGTAGTTGGCCCATTGAGACGTGTGTCTCTCCGTCTCTCCGAGTCTCTCCCCCGGTTTCGGCTCTGCTTTCGAGACTGTGAAGACGACAAAGTGCAAAGCTTTGGTCAGAATTTGTTGTTTTGAAGACGTGACGGCCACTCTTGCTTTCTTTTTCTCGCCGTGCCCCTTTTCCTTTTCTCGGTACCCCGGCCGGTCAGGTCTAATGCATGCGTCCGGAGGCGATGCCCATAGCGCCCGGAAGACTACAGAGCGAAATACAAGACTACAAAGCAAACACAAGACTTGTCGTGCTCGCGTCTGGGGGCTGTATCTGACAGAACTACTCTCCTCATAATGGCCCGGCTCGCCTAGCTCAATTCCGCCCCCTGTGGTGAAGCACGCAGGGCTTGGAGATGCCACCGCTGGGAAAGCCTTGCGCGCCTTGTCATGATACCTGCTCTCTCTCGGGGACCAGGCCCTTGCACAAGACACGGCGCTCAGCCGCTCTAAACCCTGCCTCACCCCAGCTTTCAGAACAAGCCGGTATTCCTGCCGTGTAGCTGACACGGACGGGTAGTCATGATGAGGTTCTACGGAGCAAGTCACGGCGTGAGCGTTTTAGCTTCTACGACACTTATACGACAAGGTTCAAGCCGACCAGATTGGCAGTTTATTGCATTGATAGTTGCCGTTTTCCTACATCACTTGACATCACGGCCGACCTTGCCTACATGTATTCATGGGACACCACGCTTGAGTATCATCATCACCCTGTGACTGTAGAGTGGCGCTCGTCGTCAAATTGTTTCCTCCACGCATGACGCGTCGATCCCTGCGGCTTGTCCGCAACCATTGTGAAATCGGTTCCCTGTTGAAGAGAAATCCATCTCCATCTTTCAGTCCAGACGCATCCCCATGAAGTCCTCCAAAAAGCCTCATCTCAGACTTCTTTCCGACGACCCGTCCTCTCCTGGAGTCCGAACCAAAGCCTCATCGCTTCACCCGGTCGTGGACGTGATTCTTGAGTTATGTAGGAGGTTGAAGGGTAAGGGCAATGGAAACCAGGGGGCAAGGAGAATACGAAGGTGTAAAGAGTTGGAGTGAAGAGTGGTAAAGGCTGCCCAGCAACGGCTTAAGATAATAGGAAAGTGAACAGACACAGCGGTGAACAATAGGGAAGAAGCAGGGAAGTAAAGATGCATTGCGGAAATCTCAAACTAAAGGCTATTTGGGTCGGCACACCAAGCATTAGCAAGCCGCCTTGAGCGTCTTGGGAGTCCTACTGCCCGCGACGTTTGTCAGCCTCTTTTTTTCTCCGCTCTCACCACAGTATCAACCCATTGCTGGCAATCCGAGGTATGGCTCGTCTTCCAGTCGTGAACGAGAACCTTGAGCTCTTGATCCCCCAGCGCCACCATGACCCGCTCCAGAGCCTCCCGCCCGACCTTGACCTGCGGGGAGTTGCCCCCGCCGATTGCTTCGAGACCGTAGTCAACATGGGCCAGGGCCTCGATTAGTTGCCTTGGCGTCCCGAGATTGAAGACGAGGTAATCGAGTGCGCTAGAAACTTCGGAAGCCAATTTTTTCGGGAAACCGCCGCGCAGGCCTGCATCCACGGCTGCCTTGCTGACGCTGAGATTAGTCTCCTCGTGAAGCATATCCAGATACTCGGTCCCCATTACACGGAGTTCGTCGGCGTGCTGTATGATGCTGTAGGGCAGTTTGCCTGACTTGTTGCTCGCCGTAAGGAAGGCTACCTTTTCTGTCGCCTCCAGCAAAATCTTGACAGACTTCCATTGAGGACTGGCTTCCTCGTTCCGGGCGTTGCGTTGTTCTTGACCAGAGGCTGCCAGCCCGTCTGATTTGCCCGTTATCGTAACTTCGATGAGTTCCTCCGCTATTTCGGCAAAGTGGCCCGTCATCTCCCGTTCACAGATGTTTCGCCTCACCATATTGAGTTGTGTGTCAGGGTAAAGTGTTGAAGAATCGAGAATGATCTGGGGAGAAGGAAGGGAGCTAGCGGATGTTGAAGAGTAGAAATAGGCAAATGTCCAGGTGGAACAGCAGCAGCAGAGAAGCACAAGCAAGGCGCTCGGACTGAACAGGCACAGCAGAGGATGTCGGGAAGCACTCAGACAGAACATACGCAGCAGAACAGGCGCAGACAAGCAAGGCGCTCGGACTGAACAGGCACAGCAGAGGATGTCGGGAAGCACTCAGACAGAACATACGCAGCAGAACAGGCGCAGACTGAACAGACGCAGCAAGGAGCAAAAAAAAAGATTCAGACCCAAGAGAGTTCAAAAGCAGGGTAATAGGCTGTTTGATTAGAGCTGATGGAACAGTGGCCCGTGTACCGTGTGCATGAAGAGATCGCCCTCTGCGAGAACCTTGTATCCTTCTAAAACCGATAAAGATTCCAGTTCAGGCCCGGGTGCTAAGGCGGATGGACCATATGGTGCAATCTAGGATCCAGATGTCGGAGGGAAATGAGAGGGAGTCATCGGGTTCAGAATAACCCTCCGGGGGCAAGACGCACGATGCTGGAATCCAGTGCGCTTGTCCCGGGACGGGGAGGAGGACTCACGGAGGTCGCCAAAGAGGATCCAGGCTTCTTGAAGACCAACTAGGCGGCCAAGGCACGGGCCGAGTCGCGCTTGAAGCGACGGGAGAAGCTCGCGCTGGACACACTGATTCGCGCGTCATCGATGCCTTCCATCGGGGCCCGGACAAGGGATCGTGGCGCGCCTCTTGCGCGGATTCTGCCGTGTCTCGTAAATTGTCGGCCCTGGGATTGGTGCTCCAGCTGGCGGCACCATAGGCGGCTGTTGCTCATGAGGCGCGAGCCAGATGGTGGCAAATGTCCCGTGGCCCAACTCGAGAATGAGGCGGGGGTTTCACCGACAGGCATACGCTTCCTCGGCTGCTTATAATATGTACTGTATGTAAGCTATCGCGGCATATGTGAGGGTTGCACGAATGCCGGCATTGTTGGTCAAACCCCTCCAGGGCTACATGTGATGATGTCAAGGACAGGGGTAACCTGGAATTCAACAGGGCCACACATGCTCCTAACCAGTGTTGCCCGGCCGTATGGAGACGACTTGGAAGGGAAGTTGGCCATGGCCCTTTCTTGTGACAAGACTGCAAGTAAACGTCGCAGACAGACGGCACACATACTTTTAATCTGACGTCCAGTCATGTGCCGCGTCCGTTGGTTCCAGATGCAGCCAGGTGCAGTTGATATCGGGGGGTGAGGCAATGTCTCTTCACAGCTCCAGCGGTGGCGGCAAAAGCAAAAGTGCGACCTGGGCGCCGGGGCCTGGATTGCCTCGTCAGCCAGCCGCGCCCACCTGACCGGCTGGCCCATGACGCACTTGCTGGCGAGGGCTCTGAGGAGGACGTGGTCACTTGATGGGAATCAAGCCGAAAGATGAGCATCGCGGAGACGCAGATGGACGAGTGGTGATATGTCAACTTCAGGAGTGAGTCGGGGCTCTGGTGGAACCGGCTTGTGTCACATGTACGCCTACACCAGACGCGCGTCCGAGGCTGGTGATGCTTCGCCGGCTTGTATAACAGGGAAATGAGTCCTCGATGGAAGGAGAAGGCGGTGACGACTGGCTCTGGCCTTGTCCGACTAGCCGCGGCTTCCCAAGCGCCAGCTCAGGCATGCAGCCAAGCAGAGCCCAGCAGAGCCCAGCAGAGCCCAGCAGAGTACTTTGGATCTTCACCGTAAACATCCAGCCCCTTGCTTGTTCCCGGGTACCGCCTCAGCCGTTGGTTTGTGGTGAGCCGTCGTCGTCGTCTGCGTGGGCGCCGTCTGGCCGTTCTTGATACTGACACCGGTCTCAGACCTCATATATCGCTACCGCAACGACCCTCTTCGGACCGCCACGCCTCGATCGACCCGCTGCAACGTCGGGACCTGCTCCCGAAAGAGCACCCCCTCACCACTCAAGACAACGCAGGATACCATGGGGAACAAACACAGCTCCCCGCTGCAGGGCTGCCTCGACTCCGTCTGCACCGGTCACCGCGACTGCGTTGCATTCCCAGGCGACGTGCTCTACGACGCCCTTTGGGTCAGGCCATACAACCTGGACGCCCCAGTGACGCCCGCCGCCGTCATCCGCCCCAGCACCTCCGCCATGGTTTCCAACGCCGTCAAGTGTGCCGTCCAGCACGGCGCTTCTGTTCAGGCGAGGTCGGGGGGGCATTCATACGGCAACTATGGCCTTGGCGGAAGAGACGGCGCCGTCGTCGTGGACCTTTTGAATTTCAAAGACTTCTCCATGGACGCGAACAACTGGACAGCCAGCTTCGGAGCCGGCTTACGACTCGGCGAGCTGGACAAGAAGCTTCACGACAATGGCCGGCGAGCCATTCCCCATGGAACATGTCCCGGCGTCGGCGTCGGCGGCCAAGCCGTTGTCGTAAGTCTCCCTGCCATTGCCTTCAAGAAAATAATGACTTATCGACTCAAAGGGTGGCCTCGGGCCGAGCTCACGCATGTGGGGAAACATGGTCGACCACATTCTCGAGGTCGAGGTGGTCACGGCAAAGGGCGAGGTCCAACGAGCCAGCCAGCATCAGAACGCCGACCTCTTCTGGGCCCTGCGTGGTGCCGGCCCGAGTTTTGGTATCGTCACCAAGCTATGGATGAGGACGCATCCAGAGCCAGATTCCGTTGTCGAGTACACCTACGACATCTCCTTTGGTAGCCGATTGGACACAAAGCCCCTCTTTGAACAGTGGCTGGCTCTGGCAGGCGACCCGAGCTTGGATCGACGTTTCTCGTCGCTTTTTATCATCCATCCCCTCGGCGCCGTCATCACAGGGACCTTTTATGGCAGCCAACGGGAGCTTCAGCAGACTGGCATTCTCGACAGGCTGCCCTCGCGCGGCTCCGTGAGGCTTGGCGACTGGCTTGGCTCTGTGGTCCATGTCTTTGAATCACTCATCCTTCAGCTGGCCGACGTGCCGACGCACTTTTTCAGCAAGTCGCTCGCTCTGCGCCGACAAGATCTCCTCGACAGGAAGGAGACGGACGCCCTGTTTGACTACCTCGACAGAGCGACACCACCCATGGTTCTCATGTTCAATACCGAGGGCGGTGCTGTGGCCGACGTCCCCCTGAACCAAACGTCCTACCCGCATCGCGACAAGGTCATCATCTATCAGTCGTACGTAATTGAGGCGTTTGGCGTCTCCGACGAGAACAAACGCTTCCTCGAGGGCGTTCATAAGCGCATCAAGCGCGACACGCCCCTTAACGCCTCGACTTATGCCGGCTACGTCGACATGGCCCCGAACCGCTCCGAGGCCCAACTCGCTTACTGGGGGGACTTGCTGCCGCAGCTGCAGCAGATCAAGCAGAACTGGGATCCGTCGGACGTTTTTCGTAACCCCCAAAGCGTGGAGCCGGCGGGTGCCATCGCCGCGTCCTGTCAGAGCAATCGTGTTGCGGCCTGCCCAATGGGGCAGTAGCACGAGGATCAAATTGATGAGCCAAATAGAGGCTCTTGAAGATGTGGGTGGTTGTGTGTGTGTGGGTGGGGGGGGGGGGAGAAGCTCATGCCATCCTTTTCCTCAATTGGGTGATTTCCCTGAGCCCCTGAGCCCCTGAGCCCTCTGGGTCCTGCACATGAGCAATCCCGTGAGCATCCCCGTGACCTCCACTGTCCATACCTGACACTTTCGACGCGTCTGACTTGCAAGCCAGGAAGAGGGCTCCTCCGTGACCGCGCTGAGATCTGTGATATCCAGCTTGCAGCCCACGCTTTGACTTCGTGTGGGTCGACTGTCTCCCTTCCCATAGCAAGTGAAGCAAATTGTCGTCTGACTATAATTCATCATAGAAAAGCAGGAAGTAAAACCACCGCCCCCACCCTCGCCGTCGTTTTTCTGCTACCTTTGGGTGAGTTGTCGAACAAGCCAGACACCAACAGTAGAGGCACCTCCGCAAGGGATGTCTGGTCTACTGGTCTATCAAGGCTTCTCCATACCTCCCCTCAGGTTGGCTCGTAGCGTAAGTGGAAGGCTGAGCCAGAGCGAAGAACATCACTCCGGACATGTCTGGTCTGGTTCTATGGCTTTCCGAGGCTCCTCAACAATGAATGAGTCGCTGAAGCAGCAGCTTGAGCACGAGACCCTTTATAATTTTCTGAATACGACATCAACGCCACGCCCTACCCTAATGCCCATAGGATGGCAAACGACTCCATCCCAGGCAGCGGTTGGTGAATATAGTTGAGCAGCTGTTAACTCGGTCACCTTAAGTAGTTCTCAAGCAGTGGCTTGAGAGCACAGTGGAAGAAATAGGGGCACAGAAAGGTGAATTTAGTGATGCATGTCTTCGTCTATCTATTAGGACAAGGGAGGGGCTTATATAGGTATAGTGACCATATATAGCTAGCTAAAAGAGGGCAATAGGATGTTCCTATACCTAAGTCAGGCCTGCATAGTGTCCTTAGGCTAGGGGAGTTATGTTGTTTAGGCAGGCTTCCTTGTGCATGACTATTGGGTCCACTGAGCATGACTGTGGCCTCTTATACCCACTCTCTCTCCTCAACACACCCCCTTATTACACTAGCTTCTAGATGGTGGGGCAATAGGTAGAGGAGGGTTCGGTCTAATAAATATAAGGTTATTCCGATGTTAAATTCGGCTGCTTTATTGTCTGTTTAAGGAGGTTGTCTAAAAATAGGGGAGGCTCCTAATTATATCCTATAAAAAAAAAAGGAAGGTAAATATAGCAAAAGGCAAAAGCCGGGACCTAAGAGGATAGGATATAAGGAGAACCCTCCTCCGTATATCCTATCTCCTCGGGCCCCTAAGTTCGTTAACCGCGCCCCCCCTAGGGCGTGGTTATATAACCTGCTCTTCCGCCCTAGGGGGAGTCGAACTTACGATTAATAGGGTTATATAACCTGCTCTTACCGTTTAACTAGTAGTTATAAGTTATATTTATAACCTTCCTTATAAGGAGGGGGGATAGCGGGGTATCCCTTTAGGTGGCCTAGGTACCATAGTACCTTTGCCGGCGACGTTATTATTTAGGATAAAAGTAATCTTAAAGGTAGGCTTTCTAATAATATATTCCTTATATTAATTAGTCTTAATTTAGTAAAGCTATCGCGATTATCGTAAGTTTAAGCGCTATAGTATTATGCTAATTAAGGGGTAGTCTAGTAATAGCTTTACTTCTTAATAGTAAATAGGGCTAACTTCTACCCCTTAGATCTTTATAGTTTCTTAACTAAATTAAGATCTAACTACGCTATTAGAATCCCCTAATCTTAGTATATATAGTAGTGCTCTTATTATCGGGATCCGGCGATTATCGAGTTCGCTATAGTAAGGAGATATCACGCCTTAGTACGGTGGTTATATATATTATCTCTTAATATATCTTCCGGCCGTATTACTAGTCCTAGTTACTTAATAAAGCTCTAATACTTCTAGTATATAAGCGCCTTCGTTATACTATTAGCTAGGTTATCTGCTAATACGATCTAGCTAACTTATATCCGATCTTACTATACCTCCTAACAAAGCTAGTATCTATAAACGTTAACGTGCTTAAGGTTCGTCTTAAGCTTCGCGCTTAATTTAGTTAGAAGCCTAATAGTCTAAAGGTTATTATACTAGAGCTCTATAGTCCCTTTAATACTAATACTAAGCTCCTTAATTAGTCGGCTAAATACTACCTATTCCTTAGCTATCTATAAGAGTGCTAATAATTTAGCTTTTATAGAGGACGTTATTATAGTAGCTTGCTTAGTAGCTTTCTAGTTAATTAGCCTACTAAGGAGTAGGAATACGTATCCTTATAAGGACTTCCTAGTCTCTAGGTTATCGGCGTATAAGGAGTCGGATATATATATTAGCCGCCTTATTAGGTTTATCGCCGTAAAGTAGATATAGCGGTTTCTCGTATAATAGAGGTAAGCTAGGCACTTACGTGCTTCGTGCCTATAGCGCGGCCCGGGGTTATAATTATATTAGGCTAGCTTTCCGGCTATAAATACGATATCTAGCCTAGTATAAATTACTAGATAAATAAGCGACCTAATTAGAGAGAGATATTCGTATATCTCTTCCTTTAAGGCCTGCTTTTCGTAGGGGACGAGCTCTTCTATTATTAGCGGGATCTTAGGCTTACGAAGGATATTATTATTAAGGATATAATATTTCTTCGCGGTCTTAGAGATATAGGAAGCTTACGAGAGCTATATCTTCTTAAGATCCCTATCCCTAATAATCTCGATGCTAAGGAACCAGCGTAGCTCTCCTATATACGTAACGGTATATTTCTTCGTAATAGCCTCGTATAGCTCTTCCTAATCTTATTTTTTCCTTTTCGGATATATTATAACGATGTTATCTACGAAGATAAAGATAATAACGCCCTTATAGACTAGTATGTAGGCGTCTTCTACTAGCTGCTAGGCTCCTAGTTTAGTAAAGAAACTAGATATCTCTTTAAACTATAGCTTTAGAGAGATATAAAGCCCGTATAGTACTTTTAATAGCTTTAGGCATAGCCTAGGCATTGAGAATCCTAGTAGAGGCTAGCAATAGACTTCTTAGCGTAGGATTATATATAGAAATGCTATTTTTACGTTGTATTATTCCGTCTCGAAGTCCTCGAGGTAGTAGAAGGCTATTAGTAGTCGAAATATTCGTGCTCGTAGGGTAGCTATATATATATCCTCGTTACCTTTAGGTTATAGGTCTCTATAAACTATAATACGTGCTTTAAAGCATATAATATACCCCTATTTATCGGTCTTATATATAAAGACCTAACGTAAGGGGATTAGGAAGTAACCTTTCTATTTAATAATAGCTTTTAGGATAGTCTTCTATATGCCCCTTGCTAGGTTTTCTCTATTTCATGGTCTATAGCTTCCTTCTACTCGTATACGAATTCTAAAGCTATTGCCGCGTTAAAGGAGGTAGGGGGAGGCGGTATATCTTTAACGTAAAGCTTATGCTTACTTGCCTTTACGATAATATTATTAATAAGGGATTTCTTAGGCCTACGAGCCCGTTTTCCTTTAATAACGTTGCTTAGGTTAATCCCTTATAACGTATCCTTTCGTCTACGTTATTCTTATATTTATAATATCCTTAAGCCGGCCCTACTAACCGCTAGGTTAAGGGTACGGGGTTCGGACTAAGGGTTATCTTCTTAAACCTATACTATAATCGTTCCTTTACCCCCTAAGTTAAGAGGTATATTATTGCGTTCGTCTTAAGGAGACGAGTCGATTAATATAGGTATCGCATCTTTAAGCTATCTCCCTAACGAGATATAGGAGGGGTTGCTAGCTATAGTATCTATTGCGGGCGTAGGAGGCATAGAGCTTAGTAACTCTGTGTTAAATATAGTATTAGGTAGAAGGGGTAACGTTAAAATCTCTATCCCTAGGCCTACTATTTCCGGAGGGGAAAGATATATATATCTATATAATCCTTATAAGGGCGTCTTTAATCCCTAATCTTCCGGAGTATATAGGGGCAATAGGTCCCGTAGGAGGGTAATTGCTTCTTCTAGCGTCTAACCGTTATCCGTATTATCGTTAGATAAACTTAGTACCCTAAAGGTTTTAGGTTCCCCGCTATCTATAACGTCGGTTACGGCTATATCTCTAAGGATATCGTAGCTATATATTTAGACTAGCTAGGCTTACTCTTCTCTTTTTATATCGTAGCTTATAGACTCGTTAAACTATATATTAGCTAATACTATTAGTTTATTCTATCTAATTAACGGTATCTATATAACGTATTATTAAGTAGACCTATAGCCTACTAGGTAGCCGATATAAGCTCTCTGCTTAATGGGTAATTACGTCTTATATAACTTAATATATTCTAATACTATAATTATTATTAGGAACGCTATATAGCTAAAGACCCTTAAATGTATAATATCTAGTTTAATATCTTTAATATAGTAATATAGTAGATTATTTTCTTTTATCTAGGTCTACTAACGCTTATATAGGCTCTGCTAGCTATAATTATATAATTAGAAGGGTATTATATTAAGTAGGTATACCGCTATACGGTATATCTTTAGCTATAGCTCTTTTAGAAGCTTTAAGTTAAGCCTTATAACCCTTGCTTTTTCCTTTACTATTGCCCCTAATCTCTCTATATAACCGTTTTACGTAGGCGTTAAAGGGGCTAACTATATAACTTATATCCCTCTATTAGTTATATAATCTATTTATTCTATTATTAAAAGAGCCCTTTCCCCGTTAGTAACTAATATAGTTATTTTAACTCCGTACTAGGTCTTAAGTAACGCTACGAAGTTATTAAAGATATCCCTAATACCCGTTTTTCTTTCTATTAGGTAATAGAACCTTATAGATATATCTATATAGGTAAATAGGGCGAAGTTCTTTTCCCTGTTATATGCTATTATAGGGCTAGGGTAAAGGTCGAAGCTAACTTATACCCCCGGACCTTTAGGCCTTAGGGATAGTATTTTTTTCGAGACTTCCCTCTTAGCTTTCCCTATTACGTATATCTAATAGCTATATATTATAGGGCCTTAAAGCTTAGTGCCTAGGTAGGCTTCTAATAGCTTCTCTAGTAATTTTAGACTAAGATGCCTAAGGCGGCGATGCTATAGGTCACCTACCCCCTTAGTTAGCGGCTTAGGCGCTTATATAACTACGAATACCCGCTTATACTACGGGAGTGTTCCTATTACGAATTAACCTTTAAAGTCGGTTAGTTTAATACGAACCTCCTTCGTAGGTTCTAAATAAAGGTATCCTAGGAGCTAGTTCTAGAATATCCCTGCCGTTATCCCTAGCCTAGCTAAGAAGACACTTATCGGCATTTCTAGGATAAAGTAGGCATCTAGTAGGGTTATCTTTCTACCGTTAATTATAGGGATAACTGCTATTCCTATTCCTTATACCCTAAAGGCTTAGTCTCTAACCCAGACTTCGTTAGTAGAACCCTACTTAAAGGTTCCTTCTTAGAACTAACCTAGGTTATTAAAGAGGTTAATATCGGCCCCTAAGTCGTATATTAATTTATCGGTAAGTAACGGCGTTCCCTTTATAGCCGTGTTTACCCTAGATAGAGTAACCGTGTTAATAGTCTTTCCTAGCCTATTATTGCTAATAATAGTATCTACTAGTTCTCTTCCTTTAGGGTAGGAATTAAGGGTCTAGGCTATATATTTTGCTTTCTTATCTAGATAGTCCTTTAGCCGTTTTTCGATATTCTATTTAGCTAGATTACTATATTTCTAGCCTATCGGGGGCTTCTTATTATATATTACCCGTAGTAAGTAGCAATTTTCCTACTAGCTTATTAAGCTATTAACGTGCTGCTTATAGCTAGCGTATTTAGCTTAGGTGTCTAATTTCCTAGAGATTTAATCAGCGCTTCCCCTTTTTATAGGTAGTTGCGACTTCTTTCTATAGGTATATTCTTATTTAAAGTTAGCGATTAGGTTCCTTAGGGGAAGTTAATCTTTACCGTGTCTTTCGTTATAGAGGTCGAAAGCCCTTATTATTATAGACTAATATAGGTCCTACTCGTCTACCGCTATAAGAAAGTCCTATCTAATTCTTATATCGTTAAGTATATCGACCTTAAGGTCTCGTAAATCTATAATAATTTAGTCGAGCTATTCTGCCTATACTTTCTAGTCTTATATACCTCTTTTATTAATAGAGGTCGTATATCTCTCGTAAATTAGCTTTTTCTCCTCTGCCCCTAAAGGCAGGGCTTGCTTCTTTAATTCCCTAATTTTCTCTCTTAGGCTATTATATATTAGGGTTATCCCTTAAAGCCCTTTATTAATCGTTTTCTTAATTAATTCTTTAAGTGCGATTAGGGCTTTCTACTAGACCTTATAGCGATCGAATTATAGCTAGAACCTCTTCTCGAGGTTGCGAAAGGAGTCCTTTATATCCTAGTATCGTTCGTTATAGCCTATTCGCCTCGCTAGGAACGTAGCCTCGGTTTTATCTTCTCGTTAGGATAGTCTCCCTCTAAGGTTAACAATAAATTGCTCCTAGTCCGGCTATTAGGGCTATTTAAGCTCCTTTATGCCGTCTAGGTTAGCATATTCCTAAATCTTATAAGTCTAGGCCTACGATTTAATCCCCCTAATCTATAGGGTCTAATCGAGGCTTTCCTTTAGTCTCACGATATAATTATCCCCTCTTACTTCCTTTAACGTTATCTTAGGAAAATAAGGGGTTCTAGCTTAATAAGTAATATCCTTCTTTAAGGGATGCGTAATTCGTGCAATTCGTATATTTCTAGTAGTGCCCCTTAGTATGGCTAGGTTCCTTGCCTTAACACCACAATTTAAGCGTTATAACGGCGTTAATAGCTCGTAAATAGCTTTAAAGGTAATATCGGCGGGCAAAAGATGGTCTAGCCGTGCAGGCCGGGCTCATAACTCTCAAGCAGTGGCTTAAGAGCATAGTAGAAGAAATAGGGGCATAGAAAGGTGAATTTAGTAATGCATGTCTTCGTCTATCTATTGGGATAAGGGAGGGGCTTATATAGGTACAGTGACCACACATAGCTAGCCAAAAGAGGGCAATAGGATGTTCCTATACCTAAGTTAGGCCTGCATAGTGTCCTTGGGCTAGGGGAGTCATGTTGTTCAGGCAGGCTTCCTTGTGCATGACTATTGGGTCCACTGAGCATGACTGTGGCCTCTTATGCCCACTCTCTCTCCTCAACAGTAGTCCTTAACTAACCGGCCCACGCGTCTGCCTAACCCGCCCATGAAAAAATAGAGGAGGATCTAATGCACAGGATTAGACGAGACTGTTGCTTTCCTCAGACCGTCATTCCTTGACGGCATAAGTCCTGCGAAACGCTTCATCGATGCGCTCCAGGTAGTATATGCCAGTAGCCAAGGTGGACACGTCGCCAGTCGGCGTGTAGTTCTTGGCTCTATAGGCTTTTTCTCTCGGAGCGACCGCCTTCAAAACCATTCAGTACATGCACATTTCACTAAACGGAGTAACTTACTGCCTGGTATTCCTCCGGCGTGGCGACATGGCGTCGATCTAGTCGGCCTATTAGGTCAATCTTGTTCTTTATCTGGGTAAGGTCGCCGGTGGCCTTAATAGCGAATAGGGTACTAGCGATGCCACTTACGAAGCTAAATAGACTAATTGTCTTTTCGGTAGTAGCCTTAATATCGATGTTTCTCACTAAGCTAATAAGAGAGCAGTATAGGCCAGCGGTGTATATATTGCTATACTTACTAGGTCCGGCAATACAAGGCTCAATGCGCGAAACATAGCGGTCCTTACTTAGCATTACAAAGGCCTTCTCTAAGTCTTTACTATAAAGCGACTCTTCATAGCTTGGGTTACGCAGCTTAGCCAGTGCGGTACTCTAGATGCTGTCGTTATTAAACTACAGCGCATCGTTGTACAGCAGCCGGCCATAGGACTTACTTACGAGCTTATAATTCGGTATATGGAAAGCTAAATAGTCGAAGAGACCGAGGATGCTTTTGCCGTCATCCATAGGTCTATGGCCGTTTGCCAGAAGCTTAGCCTTCTCCCTACGCCGCTTTAGGTCTTTATAACATCCGTGGAGCGCCGAGAGATAGCACTTGATAGACTCGTGCCCGTCAACTAAGGGGTGCTTGGACTTAAGATCTGGCTTATAAAAGTCAAAGGCATACGTTATGAAAGTTCCCGGAATAAAAGGGTCTAAAGTAAGGGGAGCATTAGGGCCGACGAGAATAGCAACGCAGTCGGCACCGCCGGTAGGACGGGAAGAAGGCTAGTTATATAGCGCAATGTCAGAGGCCACGACGATTGCATCATGACCGTCCCAGGCGCGAGACTCTACCCAGTTGACGGCGTTGAACAGGGCATTGGTCCCGCCGTAGCATGCGTGGATGGTGTCGGCGCCCTCGAGGCTCGTGTTGCCGGACTTAGCCTTGTCGATCAAGGACTCGGTGCCAACTTCTAGCCGGCCGATCGACGTTAGATTAATGTTGTACTTACGGAGGAGGGAGAACACTGCCGTCAAAGCAAGAGAACAGACATCTGCCTGTAATGAGCGAGCGAACATGTTCGCATTCCCGAGGGCGGCAGGGAAATCCACTCACCTTCTCTGTCGGTGCAAAAGTTCATGAGCTTGAGACCCAGACCGATCGTGTATTTGCCAGCCGAGACACCATGGTATTGCTCGAAGAGCGTTTGGTCGAGACACTGGCTCGACAGTGAGCCAGAGCCTTCGCGACACCACTGTGAACGTACCTGGCTGGGAACATAGATCTCCATGGCCTTGATGCCAACATTTTCAGGATAAGTCATTGCGTCAGTGTGTGGCCTGTTTTCTCAGTCTCGTTAAGGTCTGTCGGTCGTCTCGGGACGCACAAAATAGAAGGAGGGGTCGCGTTAGGGCACTGATCAGGCCCCGAGAGAAAGTAATGGAACAGAACTGCCCGGACGGACTGGCGATGCGGTTCCCTTTGCAACTCGAAGTGCCTGAGCCGGGGTAGTGTGGACCGTCATTGGTTCCCTGCAGCCAGCGCTCGAATAATCATCTGTCGGGTAGAGCCAAGAGCAGGGGGTGTCAGGGGCGTCGGGGTCAGCCGAATCGAGGCACCAATGCAGTTACAACCCACTGGTGCCTCAATGACTCTCTTATTAGCAAGACGCAAGAGGGGCAGTTATAATTAACTTATATATAGAGACCTCTCAGTGCCTTCTGTTCTTCTGTTGACCAGTTCCCGGGGTCTACAAGGGGTATCTACCTATATGCGCAACACACCCGTCCTAATGGATAGACCAAGGCATGTATCACTAAGTTTATCTCTTTGAGACCCATACATCGTCCACTGTGCTCTCATGCCTCCTGTGAGGTCATCACATGCTTCCCTGCCTCCTGCATTTGCAATGAAGATACCGACTTCCCAAAGTCTTCAACATGCTCTCGCCTGCTGCGTTTCCCACAACAATGCCCACCGGCCCCTGATTATCAGTATGTAGGGTATTGCTATATAAGTAGTAAAGACCAACAAAGGACTTCTATCATTTGCATGGGTTAAGTGGCAATCTAGGATCAGCTCAACGTGCGGTTTCTGAGTGGTCAAGGTCCCCAAGAGATATCTTGCTGCAAAATTTTGGACTTCTGAAGAGATATACATAGGGGGCGCTTAAAAACTCTGCACTCAGGGCGCATTCCCACCTGAGCTTTACCTCACGTTGCAATGAAGGCTCAAACTAGCCAAGAGTACGCACTGTCGTCACGTGGATTATATAGTTGACTGCTGGATTTCACATGTCTGTGGCACGCAGTGTAGGAGTTGAACCCTAGATAAGCGCTTGCTATATGGGGGGATGGCCGCGCCGCTCGCGCTCCGTCCCCTGCACTACATAGGGTGGGACCTGTCCGTTTAGGGATCTTGAGCACCGAAGAGATTCACTGCGAGCAGTGCATCAGCTGCCACCTACTCTACGTGGCCGGCAAAGTACCGTGATCATGGTCTTTAACGTCGGGACATATAGCAACTTCGTACACCAACTTCGAAGTCGGTGGAGGTAGAGTCGTAGAGACAGGGGAGCACTGGAGCAGATGCCCCTTTGGAAGCTTGAGACCTCTAACGGGATAGCTGCGGCTGCACGACGAGGTTGGAAGGATGCCGACCCTGGCAACGGAAGGATAATGTGGTAGGAGCGGTCTTGATATTGATTGGCAGTTGCTTGTAGCCGTGCAGAACAAGCCAGCAAAAATGGGCCACGCCCTCGGACGTTTGTCCGCAAGTGAGAATGGTTCTGTGGCTACGGGATGAAACAAGGTACTGGTACCGTATGGTGGCAACAGAGGCAGGAAACGGCCACAGCACACCGTGTAGGTACAGAGATGGCGTATGTGGTTTTGCCTCCCTCTTCCTGTTACAGACACTCCTTCAGGCGTGGATAGGTACAGCATAAGTTCGGCGTCAGACTCAAGGGTACGAATGGCTGTCCCAGCGCTTGGAACTGAGTATACATACTTCCAGGCTGTCTGAAAATTGGGGTTCCGGACCGGAAGCCCCAAGTTGAGCAGGCGACAACCGCGATTGCATACACGTGGACCGATCTGGCATTCTGTCTCAATCCGGCGCGGGCCTGTGCAGTGTGCAGGCGCATAGCCCCCGAACCCTAAGAAGTCAAGAATGCGACCTTCTATAACGTTGCCATGACGTATACGCACCCGGGGCTGGACGGTACTATCAATATCGAGGAATGGCTCCCTACCGGCGACTGGAACGAGAGCCTGTTTTTAGTACCGTAGGCGGAGGAGCTTACGTTGCGGGCTGGTTTTCGTACTCTGCATTCGCCATGGCCGGGAGCCAATTAATTAATCAAAATGTCCTACCGGGCCGTTATACGCATATTCAGAGCTATATAGCCCATTCGTATACTGGATCAGTACCGTGTCTGCCTTGCTCGGTCCATACAAGTTCTGATAGCGCCCAAACCGATTAACAGTGTCAGAATGGTCCTACCACGACTTCAGCCCGCCAACTCCTCCCATAGGGAAGATGGCATGACCAAAGTCCGCAGCCAGGGGATCGCCTTGTTATCGCCCCGCAAGCCATATAAACCAGTTGATGAATCGTAGCATAACCCGGCAGACAACATATCGGATGCCGGTATAGTGAGCTAAGCGGAGACGTTGATGCGACCCCTTGAGCGCCTTGGCAGCTCGCGGGACGGCCAGCCTGTCGTAGGCAGCAACAGCATCGTCGAGCGAGCCACTGGTGCATAGCAGGTTCGCCAGGTCCCAGCCGTCCTTGAGCGCCAGGTTGGCTCCGCTGCCGGCGAAAGGGTTAACGGCGTGGTTACTGTCGCCGACGAAGACGACGTTTCTTGGGACCGCGTCGTCGTGGGCAAAGGGCTGCTTGTCGTAGGTGGACAAGGAGAGGAAGGCCTTCTGGTCGGTTGCCTCGATGACCCTTGCCAAGGGTTTGCCGAAAATACCCAGAGCTTCGCGCCTGAGGGCCTCCAAGTCGCCGCTCTCTGTCCGCTCCGGCTGTGGCTGGCTTAGGACCCAGAGGAGGCCCGTGTCGTCGACCGGGGCGAAGAAGTAGCCGATGCCCTGTCCCGACACGACCATTCCCCAATGATTGAGAGTGGAGGGGACTCCGTCGACGAATCGGCCCACTCCGCCCACAAGCACGGTGCCATTATACTCCGGTTCGTCGTCAGGCCGGAAGCTTGCGCGCACCTTACTGTGCGCCCCATCTGCGGCGATGAGCAGATCGCAGTCGTCGGTCCGGGAGACGCCGGGGCCGTTGGTGGCCGAGAGGTGCACGCGGATGCGGCCGTCGGCGAGGCCCTCTGCCGAGGTGCATGCCGTGTTCCATCCGATGGCTACACCGGTCTCCTCGGCGGCCGTGATGAGCGTGTCACGCAGGCTACTACGCGTGATGCTAATGGCCGACGCCCGGCCGCAGGCTGACTCGCATTAACTCGGCCCAATTACCATCCCAGATCTTATAGCTCGTGCTGCCGTCGGCCCTTGCCCCAGCGCGGCCGAGCACGGCGTCCAGCAGACCGAGATCCCGGCAGGCGACGAGGCCGCCGTCGCCGTCAAGGCCGTGGAGCGCGAGCGAGTAGCCCTCCCGGTCAGGGCCGATGCGTCGGCCGTCGCGGTCGTAGATGATAACCTCGGGTGGATCCAGGGCCGGGTCCCAGAGCCTGCGGAGGGCGATGACGAAGGAGAGGCCGGCGATGCCGGAGCCGGCGACGATGATTTTCTTGCCGGCGAGGAAGTGGGACTCGGACTTCTCCATGGCGGGTTTATGGGATGTAGCGGCAAGACGACTATTCACACCCGCCTGTTGACAGAGCCAAGATGGCTACCGAGTAGTACTTATACGTCTGCTATGCGGTGATCTCATCTGGATGCAAACTGACGAGTAACTTGCTGCTGTAAGTTACATGGCCCCCGCGTCTCATCCCGCGGCGAAATCATACCCTGCCCTATTACAGTAGTTTGGTAAACTAGTTGCTACAGCAAGGCGCATTTTAGCAGCAATCGCACTCTCCGGATACCCGGAGAATACGAAGCCCTTGAAAATACTGAAACACGGGCCGCCAAGCGATAGGGTGGCAAGGGCGGCGCAGGCCACATAGCTAACAGGGCCCGAAAGAAGGGGAGGTAGCGGCGTTGATAGAGCCATCGGCCTCCTCCAAGACCCGTCAGTGGCCGAGCTCACCGCCCAGCGAACCAAGGCTCTTCAAACCGTGGATCAAAAGCAAGACTAGTTTCAAGTCGGCAATGGTCCCCTCGCGGCTCGGCCCTTTTGTCGTGTCACGCGCGTGATTGAGAGGCTTCTCCAGGTAGAAAGTAACGTCGCACATGTCAGTATGCGTCCTCCCAGAGACACTGCGGTATTGGAGCTATCCTCTTTCAGCCTGGCGGGCTAGAGGCCATGGAGTCTGTGCGAGAGAATCCTGGTCGGGGCGAATGTACGCTCTTAAGCACGCAGTTGACCTTCTTCACTTAACCTTCAACCAATGATATGGTTCTTGAAGGCGTCGGGACTCGGACCAGCTTCAAGGATGACCCTGTAGCATGGCCGCAATGATTCACTCTTCAATAGCAAGTAACATGTAAACGTGTTAGCCCCAAGATCGAGCACGACTCCTAAGAACCAACAGCGACGTGCTTAAATCATATAAGCCCCAACAACGTGCCCTCCGCCGCAAGTCTCCAGCTATGCTAAACTGCTCCCAAAGACCATGATTCCCCCGTTCAAGACCATGACGCCATGCAGTTATTTAATGGCCTGTTGCGCCCACCAAGGATGTCATGCCCGCTGCCGCAAACCGAGCCCCTGATGAGGGTTACTCAGAAGGGGACGCCAAATCGCAGCTCGCGATACACCTGTACCCATCTATACCGCACTCGCCGCCCGGCGCGCGTAGTCTCTCCTGCTGCGAGACTCACAGTAGCGATCACAGCACCAGTAAACCAAAAAGACAATGCGCAACATGCTGCATGAGAATTACAGATGTCAGCGGGCAAAACGAGACGAGGAATTGGTCGAGGAAGGCAAAGGGGGACATCGAGGATGTAGGTGAAAAGGGGAACAGTAGAGAGGCCCCAGGCAAATTGAACGTCATCCACGCACCTGATGACGGCAAGCGCGCATACGGCAGCCCTGAGCATGTCGCCGCACGCAAGCTGGCGATGGCGACTGAGGCGCAGGTTGGCGGCAATGACGGCCCCGTCGTAGCCGCGCGTCTCGGGAACCAGTATCTTCTTGAACAGTATTATGAAGCCGCCGGCCAAGGAAAAGACGAGAGTGGCGAAGTCGGCAGAAGCCACGTTCCGCCGTGTCAGGGGCGGGAAGCCGATCTGGCCGCCGAGGGCGATGGCCTGCCAGCTGTCGACGAGCAGCGCGGCGGCGGCTCCGGCAAAGCCCGGGGCGACAACTCGGCATTCGGTATCGGGCCAGCGATGCACAGTGAAGCTCATGATGAGAAGGGCCCCGAGCGCAGCCAGCCACCCCAGGCCTCGGACCGTGGCCCACGCCAGGTCGGGCCAGGCCAGAAAATGCCAGCGGGCCATGGTTGATTGCTCAGGCTCGGAAAGCTGGTCTCGGGGACATCGCCCCGGCGTCTGATCTTGGGATGCTGGATGTTTGCTTTGTGAGCGTGTTTCGAGTCCAATGCGGCTCCGAGTCGTTGAGTGGTGTTTTGGATGCAGTGCGTCGACCAGCTTGCTCTGCGCAGGGGAAAAGGACATGTGCTTGTGTGCTTCCACGGCCACAAGAAGAGGAGGTAGCTGAAGTGACACCTGTTCACTTGAAAGTCGACGCCGTGGCACATAGAATACAGTTCGGGCGTGCCCTGATCGGATGATTCCTCCCCCGTCCTCATCATCAACTTGATGAGCGGTGCGCCCCATGGTCTCCTTGGTGCCACGCCACGGACGAGTGTTTTCAACGCCACCAGTCTTTGCAGGAGCTTCGATTGGACGCCCAAGCTGCATCCATGACGACTGTGAAACCCAGTCCACGAGGGCATGGCATCGAGGCGTGCTGCGGGGGCAAAGCTTGATGGCGGTAGTTTGAGTATGATGCATCTCTGAAGGCTAAGCTGCCACCGGCCCAGCACCTGGGGGCTTATGCCCCATGCTTGGTGTGCACTGAAGCTTTCGGAGCTTGAGTCTCGATCATGTGGCCCCCTGGCTTCCATGTTCCAAGGTTCAAGCCCCGAGCCTGCTCGGGCCTTGTCGCCAACTGTACTCAACGCCTTCTGCAGAGCATTGGAGCACAGATGCCCCAGAACAGCTTGTGCAAAGCGAGAAGTATCGACCATTATGACGTTGTCTCGTGTTCAATGCGGGTCGTGGCGACTGGAGACATCCCGTGCCTCTATCGCTTTCACAAGGCATACTCTTCTACGTAAAGAGAGATGCCCTGCGCCCCCGTGCCCTTGTGCACCGCCCGCTCGTCGCTCAGCCGGCTGACGCAGTTGCGCGTGCTCGCAGCCAACTCGCGGCCTCCGCAAACGATGACGCCCGTCTCGCCCCAGGCCTGCTCCACGGGCTCACGAATCAGGGTTTCTAGGTCAGGCCTCGCCGCGTATTGCCGGAACCCGACGCCCGAGGCGTTCTCGCGCGAGTCCCCCAAGCAGGCGTTGCTGTCGACGCTGCTGATGCTGCTGCTTCGGCGGCCGTAAAGCCCGTCCGACGGCCCCGGTGCGCGGCCGGCCTTCTCAACGTCTGGGGAGTCCCTCTTGTTGCGCCGGAGCTGGACCAGCGGCACACCTGCATCTCCCTCGGGGCCGCTGCCCGTGATGGCGACGTGTAGCCGCACGTCGATGCCCCTGTCGCGAGCCAGCTTTGCCGCGTCCATGGCCCGGCGCACGTAAAACTCGATCTCGCCGGCCATCCTCGCAATCAGGGCCACTTCGATCCTCCGCACGCATGTTCGGCGGGACGATGCGGCCGCAGCCTCGAGCATGGGGATCGTGAAGCTCGCCCCGGTCGACGCGCTGATGAGGACGAGCGTCTCGTACGTGTCCCACTGGGGCGGCACGCCAAATGGGCCGGAGAGAAAGGCCGTAAACGTCTTCTCCGGGTGCCGGGAGGCACGGGCATGGATTCTTTTTGAGAACCCTCCGTGGGCCCGGACAATGAGCTGGATGCTATTGCAGCCTGCGGGAGAGCTGCTGAGCTCGTGCGCGCAGGCAATGGTGTAGGGGTGCGCCTCCAGCGGGCCGAGTCGCGGAACCCAGAGATAGACGTGCTGGCCGGCGTGCCACTTGAAGCGTGTGCCCCGGATGGTCAGGATCGTTGTAGTGCCTCCCACGGCTCGCATCGACATCTCGTGGCCGAAACGTATCGCGCTCCGGGAAGACGAAGAGTATGGGATGGAGGCACTGGGAGACCAGGGCCAGCGCGTGTTCTGCAACAGGAGCAGCAGCCATCTGGCGACGCGGTCAAAGATCAAGAAGGAAATGGCCATGAAGAGCAGATATCGGGCGTTGGCCGGGATATGCCTGTGCAGCAGCCACAGCATGACGGCTGCCGAGAGAACGTGCTGCAGCAGCCAGACCTCGTAGGCCAAGCGGCGGACGGGGACAAAGCCGACGACGACGGACCACAGCAGCACGGCCCAGGCGGCGAGGCCGTACTTGACCAGGGGCATGATGGCCAGCTCGTAGGCAACAAAGTCGGCAAGAGCCCACTCGGTCCAGAAGTGAAAGCCGTGGACCGTCGCGGTGACGAGCATGGTCCGGGCGACCCAGCGGTGCAGCCAGTTGAGGCGCTCATGGCCGGCGCCGATGAGCCAGCCGACCGGGTTGCACTTCATGGCCAGCAGGTAGAGCGCGGGCAGCTGCATAAGCGAGACCCAGGCGTTGCGGTAGCCGATGCGCTCCCAGTAGTAGGCGTCGTCGAGGATGGCTTCGCTGCTCATCATGTAGGCGATGACGGCCCAGTAGCCGAGCAGGACGAGGACGCGGCCCAGCGGCGGAGGCGTGGCCCATGCGAGGCCCCGAGTCGTGACGAGAAGCTGCGGATGGCCCGTTTCGCGGATGAGGGCCGTTGCCGTGGCCCATGCTTGGCCGAGCCGGCCGCCGGGTCGGGAGCAGGTGGCGTGAGTGATGGATGGATCGGTGCATGCTTTTCGCCTGCGCCGGGAGCGAGTGTTAGTCAAGCCCGAGAGAACATGTTTCCGTCGACCACATGTAGCAACGGCTCCCCGTGACGACCCAGGGGTGCCCGAAGCGATTCTCTCCTTTTTCGTGAGACATACCTCTGGACGGCGCCGTAGTGGTTGACGGCCCGGACGGCCACGAGAAGGCCGACGATGCCGGCGGCAATGTACCAGTAGTCGCGCGCAAATGCATGGTTCAGGCCGGAGTCGATGCCGGCTGCGCCGTGCATGTGTCCCATGTCCATGTCCATGTTGACGACTGCTGTCGCGGGCTCAGGCAAGCCGGCGCCGTGTGCTGTGTTCTTTCTCTGCAAGCACGATGGCGGGAGGTAAGAGGGAGGGGATGACCCTTTTCGACTTTACTGAGTACCCTGTCTCGACGGCTCATGGCTTGCAGAACATGCTGTCGAGATGGACGGATGGGCGAGGTCGAGAGGGTGCCGTGTCGTGTGGTAGGACGTCGATGCGATGGCCCGAGATGAAGGATCAGGTCTCGCGAGCAGGCGCACAAACATGGAAGGAAGTACAAGAAATCGTCGCGGTCGTCGGGAGTGCAGAAAGGTTCTCTGATGCAGTCGAGAGTACATGTACATGGAGCCAGAGCACACAACGTGATGGCAGCGTGGATGGCTTCAACCGCTTGGACTTGATTCAGGCAGGGCTGACGGAGCGGTGGGTCGGAGCTGGTTAGTCTTTGTGAGCAAGTTGCAAGTTTGCCCATCAACTTGCTCAAGGGGGTTCAAGCGGGAAGCCGTCGAGCCGGGGGCCCCTAGCTTTGCCTTTAGACGTGTTTCTTGCTGCAAATAGCGTCGACGCCCAGCCCTTTCGCCTGGAGCTGAGCCGGGCAGAGTTCGGCTGCTGTTCAGTGTTTGCCGTCCCAGTCAGCTCGTGCTCTGTGGTGTGGCGTCTATGCCTCGGGTCCAAGGCGAGAAAGGAGCTTGTTGGCACGTCGTGGGACGATGAGAAGACGAGTCCGAGCTTCACGACGAGAAGTCATTGTACAAGCAGAATGGCCGATTCCTGCGATCCCAGAGCCTGACAAACACGTCCTGTTTCGTAGCTTCTCCCCCTTTCCTCGACGCTGATGATTAGATTAGTCTGCTGCCGCCTTATACGTGGATGCGGCGGCCTGTCTCGACTCCGTACGCCCGGGATAAACTTGCTCAAACACACTCACCCCATCCTCATCGCCTCGCCTGATTGGACACTCCACCATCTTCGGACCAGCCCGTCCAGGTCACCTCCTCCGCACGGACTTCATGTACTATCACATCTTGTTAATATACCAGAACATCGTCAAAGCAGTGGGAAACGGGCCCCATCCACGCACACCAGAAATGAGCATCTTGTCTCACATTACATTCTCTTTTCTTCTTCCAAGTGTTTAATTGCAGCCATCAGTCCCCGGGAACGTGGCACCCGCCTGATGATGCTCCCCCTAGAACACCCCCCTCCCGGCAGCCTGAGCTTTGCCCTGAGTGCAACGACGATTGCCCCCATCACAGCCCATCCGTCTTCGTTAGCAGGCGCAAACATGCGGCCAGTGCCAAGCGTGTGCCCGGGGCTCGTGCTCATTCTTCGGCCCGGGCTATAGAGGCACGCCCGTCCCGGCCTGGTCCCTGATATTTGCCGCGCCATTTCTTTCTCCTCGACCATTGACGACACTGTCCTGTCCATCTACCTGCGTCGACGTGCGGGTATAGTCTCGTTGCAAGTCGCGGCTCTCCCGCCAGCTCTACCTGTTACATGTGACCACAGACCTACCTACCTCGTACAAAAGCTGCCCGCCCGGCACACCTTTGCCTTTCTCCTCCCCTTTCGCTGATCCTGTTGCCCCTCTGCTACGTCTCCTCCTCATTTCTCCTGTCCGTCGTATCCGTACAATCCTCTTCATTCACCCCTTCGTTACGCATACAGACGGCCGGCCCGCGGACCATCCGACGACGATCTCGGCAGCACAGACCACAGGTCGACACCATGGTCAAGTCCCTTGTCGCCCTTGCGGCGCTCTGCTTCGGCCTCAGCGCCGCCCACTTCCAGATGCTCTACCCCGAGTCGATTGGCTTCGAGGACGACAACGAGGATAAAGCCCCGTGCGGCGGCTTCACGCCCGACTTTGGCTCGAACAAGGTGGTCGACTTTCATGTAGATGGAGAGGCACTTGCCATGAGACTGTTGCATCAGCAGAGCAACTGGCTCTTCCGCGCCACGACGGACCAAAAGGCCGACTCGGGCTGGCAGCAGATGTTCCCCGTCGTCATGCAGAGCGGCCTCGGCGACTTTTGCGAGCCTCGCGTCACGGCGCCGTCAGACTTTGTGGGGAAAAAGGGCGTCGTCAGCGTCGTCTCGTCTGCCGTTGACGGCCTGCTGTACCAGGTGAGTGCACAGATGGCCGGGCTATGGCCCTGAGTTCAAGCAGTAGAGAGTCGTGATGGCGTCAGCGGAAGGAGAAGAAACACCTGCCTCGTACCTAAGCTAACTTGAAGACAGTGCGTCGCCGTGAACTTCGTCAAAGGCTCCGCCGGGCCTCCGTCGGCGTGCAAGAACACCTCGTCGGTCAAGGCATCATTTACCAACGACGCCAAACTGTCGGCGCTCCTGGGCAGCGCAGCGGGCTCTTCCTCGTCGACACCGACGCAGTCGTCGGCATCCGGAGCAACGAGCAGCGGCGCGGCCTCAGCCTTGAAGGCGTGGTCGGCGGCGGGCCCGGGATGGAGCGGCGCCGCCGCGGCGCTGCTGGCCGGAGCGGTTCTCGGGGGAGTGCTGCTGGTGTGAGGGGGATATGGGATAGAACAAATTGGACATGGATGGCCTTTTTCCGCTTTTAATGATTCTGCGGCATGCAAAATGCCCCGGATGGATGTTTCGCGTCTTGAGATGGAGTGCAATGATGGACGCGACTTGACGCCGTTGATGCACCAGACAGCGCATGCAACCATGTACGATTCTCGTGAAACCAAGTCAATTGGGTCTATTATTTACTCGTCGAGCACCATAGTCTTGAGGGGATCACCCACGCACATGCTACGCCGCGTCACCGCTGCCAAGCATCGCCCATCAGCGGGGGAAAGTTGCCGTCCGACTCTACCTGGAAGGCCGCATGAAATCCCCAAGATCGGCATTGACGACGAGCGAACCTGATTGGGCCTCGCCGATCCGCTCGCTCGCCGGCGGTCGGAGCTTCGTCTGCAAAGCCCCGCGTCAAGGCGAAAATGGGAACCTCTGGGTCAACGGGGGCGGCCAAAGACGGCGCTGGCCTCCACTGTTTTGACTTTCAACGTCCCCGTCTGCGACTAGGCTTTTCCGATCTTGCCTTGCTTCCAACCTTGTATGCCGGGAGGGAAAGCTTGTCTGGACGTGCAACTTCAATGGCTTTGTTCGCAAGAGCAGGCTGCAAACTGAAAGGAAGAGAGGAACTGTGAGTGGTAGAGAGTCACTTTGCGCCAGCGCCGTTGCCTTGCCCCGGGGCTGGTTCATTCGCTTCTGCGGCGTCCCCTCTTCAGTTTCGCGTCTCTCACTTGCTTCATCAATCCCTTGTTCCGCTGGTGACGGACCGACGACGACCGGACGCTGACGCCTGGGCATGGCAACACCAACTCCCTGAAAGAACATTGTCACTACCTGGGGGTTGTGCCGGGCCTCGACTTGTGATACCCCGAGCCGCGTGAACCCGTCGTCCTTGGGCAGATCGGGCGGATTATTTGAAGAGACTGGCGCCTACTGGCCCTCAACCAGTCGTATTCGGCCGGCATATCGTTAACTTTTGCGGCTTGGTCCCAATCCCAAGCCTTGCAGCTTGAGGCTTTTCGGCACAGACTCTGACCTCGACGGCGTCTAATCAGTCGGTCCCTTGCTGTCGCTATCCAGTGAATAACTTTCGGCCCGCGGGTCTTCTTTCGACTTCAACCCCTCGAGAAGGGAACGGGAATTTCTCGAATATCCATTCCCTTTCCCAACCGCGACTTTGATCGTCGCCCCTCTTCGTCTCAGGTCGCCCCTCGGGCACACCGTTCGCCCATCATGACGTCCCTCGACGCCCTCAAGCAACGCCTGCACCAATTCGCCGTCGCCTTCAGGGTCCCAGGCCAGATACCCTGGCTCAACGACGCCCGCGTCGTGTCCGGAGCCTCGCTCACGGAAACCGATGCCATCACCCTCTACGTCTTGGCCGCCCTGTCCGTCGCCGTCCTGCTGCTCTACGCCTCCAACCGCAAGATCCTCTCCCTGTTCCCGCCATGGCTTCAACCCTTTGCCAAGGAGGAGGGCCCCGTGCCGGAGAAGCGCAAGGCCTGGACGCACTGGACGCTTCTGCTCGGGTTCGTCTGCCTCGCCGGCATCGTCCTCGCCATCATCCCCGCCTGCCTCAGCCCGAGACAGCCCGTGGCCGTGCTCGAGGTCTGGCCGTGGCTCGTGGCTGCGCTTATTTCTGCCTTTGAGCGGCCGACCAAGACGCCACGGATATTGCTGCTGCAGTACATGCTCATCTTCACCGCCGGGCTCACGACTTACTCGGTTCAGTTCCTCGACCAGTCCCTCCGCGCGCTGGACCCGTATCGACTCGCCCGAATCGTCCTCGCCGCCACCGCCGCCGTCTTCATCGGCCTCATGCCCCTACGCAACCCGGCCTGGGACACGCAGAACATCGGCAACCCCAAGCTGCCCCCCTCGCACCACGTCCGCAGCCCCGAGGACAACCTCAGCCTCTTCCGCTTCTGGGCCATGACCTGGGTCTATCCGCTCGCCCGCATCTGCCGCCACAAGGACATCACCGTCGAAGAGGTCTGGCAGCTGCCCCTCGAGTTCCAGCACACGCGCCTCTACATGGCCTTTCGCGAGCTCCGCGGCAAACTCATTCCACGCCTTATCCAGGCGAATGGCCTGGACCTCTTCATTGCCACTGGCCTCGCCGTCGTCGAAACCGTCACCGAGGTGTCCACCATCCGCCTCACCGGCCGTCTGTACCGCGCCCTCGACGCCAACAGACCCGAAGAGGCCGTCTTCTGGTGCCTAACCATGCTGTCCCTCGATGTTCTTCGCCAAATCTCCAAGACGACTTCGTCGTGGTACTCGCGCAAGGCCTACGAGCGGTCGCGTGGCGAGACCTTCATCGGCCTCTTCAGCAAGCTGCTCACGCGAGCCGTTCCCGGATCCGACGTGACCGAAAAGGGGCCCGCTAGCAAGGTGCCCCGGGTTCCTGGCAAGCTTCGTCGCCTCCTAGGCCGCTGTTGTGTCGGCCGGAAGCCGTCCCCTTCTGCCGGGCAGCAGCAGCAGCAGCAGCAAAGCCCCCCCCCTGCGTCCAACGCCAAGGTGGTCAACCTGGTTCGAGGCGACACTTACGAGATCTCGCAGCGGTTCTGGGACCTGCCCAAGCTCATCTCGCAGCCGATCAAGGTCCTCGTCACCATGTACTTCCTCGTCGACATCATGGGCTGGTCGTCGTGCATCGGCTTCGCCCTCATGGCCATCTTTCTCACCGCCAACTCGCTGCTCGTCCGTGAGCTCATCAAGCTCGAGCGCCAGCGCACCGCCCACTCGGACAAGCGGGCCCAGGCCGTCGCCCACTTCGTCGAGGCCAGCCGCCCGCTCAAGCTGAACGGATGGACCGCGTCGTGGAGCCGCCGCATCATGAAGTTTCGCGACCTCGAGATGCACAAGAGACTGCAGATTGCCCGCGTCACGGCCGCCATCTCCACCATCAACGTCGCCGGTGGTGCCGCGTATCCGCTCGCCAGCATCTGTCTTTACACCCTCATCCTGCGGCGGGGCCTCCCCAACAGTGTCATCTGGCCCTCGCTGCAGCTGTTTGGCCAGCTCGAGACGAGTGTCAAACAGGCCTTTGACCTTGTCTCGGCTTATTGGAAAGCCACCATCCCTGTCGAGCGTGTCAACAAATTCATGGCCGAGCAGGACCGCGACGAAAGCGGCCTCAACTCGGCCGGCGCCCGTGACATTGACTTCTGTGACGCCTCCTTTTCCTGGCCCTCGACGGACGGTGTGGTCCTCCACTGCCTCAACCTCAAGTTTTGCCCGGGCCTGACCGTTGTCAGGGGCAAGGTCGGCTCCGGCAAATCGAGCCTGCTCCTGGCCGCGCTCAACGAGATGGAACTGCGCGAGGGCCACCTCCGCCGGCCGGACGAGCCGCTTGGGTATGCGCAGCAGCTCCCCTTTCTGCAGAGCAAGACGATCCGGGAAAACATCGTCTTCCACCAAAACTTCGATCCGGTCCGGTACCGGCAGGTCATCCACGCCTGCGCGCTGGCGCCCGACCTCGCCATCTTTCCCGACGGCGACCAGACCAAGCTGGAAGAGGGAGGCGTGGGCCTCTCCGGCGGACAAAAGGCACGGGTGGCCCTCGCCAGAGCCGTCTACAGCCCATGCCGCATCCTCCTTCTCGACGACCCCCTGGCCGCCCTGGATCACGACACCGCGAGCAACATTGTTCGCCGCTTTCTCCAGGGCCCCTTAGCCGAGGGGCGCACGATTGTCATGGTTACCCACCGAGACGACCTGGTCCTCCGCATCGCCGACCAGGTCATCGACATGGACGACGGTAACGCCAGCGTCTTGTCTGACGAGCGGATTGAGGCCGAGCTCGAGCACCCGTATCACGCACCCACCGGAGCCGCCCACCCCGAGGAGACAGACCCTTCACACGGCGGCGCACACGAAGACGAAGTGACTGGCCTAAAGGACGCGCCTGAAGAGCCGGCCGAGACGGGGGGCGTCTCCCTCGCCGTATATACGAGCTACATGAAGGCGGGAGGCTGGCACCTGTGGCTCATGCTGGCCGTCTTCTACGGGGCGTCGCGATACTGCGACATTGCCCGGGCCCGGCTCCTCGAGGCTTGGGGCCACCACACGGCGTTCCAGTCGAGCGGCGCCTCTCACGGCTACTGGGGTCTTCCGAACCCCGAGCACCACCCACGCATCTGGCTCGGCGTCCTCGGGGGCCTCTCGGCCGGGCAGGTGGTCATGTACGCCGCGGCGCAGTTGACACTGGCAAAGGTCAGCGTCGACGCGGCGCAGGCCCTGTTCCGCGTCGCCGTCGACCGCGTCAGCAAGGCCACGTTCCGGTACCACGACACGACGCCGACCGGCCAGCTCAAGAACCGGCTCATCTCCGACATGGGCATGGTCGACGGCGGGATCCTGGCGCCGCTCGAGGCCTTTGTCTTTCACCTCATTGCCCTGGTTCTCAGCACCGTCGCCATCGCGACGCAGCAGCCCCTTTTGCTCATCATCCTCGGAGCCGTCGCCCTCCTCTTCGTCTACGTGTTCCGCATCTACGTGCCCGTGTCGCGCTGCCTGCGCCGGCTGGAAACGAGATACTTGACGCCCATCATCGCCTCCATCGGCGTCATGCAGGACGGCCTGGTGACGATCCGCGCGCTCAGGGTCGAGGGCCATTTCCACGACCGCCACCTGGACGCCGTCGACGACTTCCAGAAGCAGGACCATTTCTTCTGGAGCGTGAACTTTTGGCTCGACTTTCGGCTGAGCATGGCATCGGCCTGCACCCGCGCGCTCTTGGTCCTGGCCATGGTCTGGCTCGGGACGCCCGCCAGCGCCGTCGGCTTCGTCCTGACGCAGACCATTATTGCCATTACTTGTGTTCAGCAGCTGTGTGAAAAGTTTGCCCAGCTGCAGCTCGACGCCGTCTCGCTGGAGCGTGTCAACATGCTCAATCGGATTCCCGAGGAACCCAACGGCGACGACGACCCGCCCGAGGACTGGCCACGGCCGTGCGACGACGTCCGGTTTGATTCCGTGTCGTTCCGGTACGCCGATGGCTTGCCCAACGTCCTGGAGAAGGTCAGCTTCAATATCCCCGGCGGCTCGACGTGCGCTGTGCTCGGCAGGACGGGATCCGGCAAGTCGACCATCGCCAACGCCCTCCTCGCCACGCAGACGGCCTGCGAGGGGGCCGTGACGGTGGGCGGCATCGACCTGGCCCGGGTCAACCGCGCAGCCCTGCGCCGCCGCGTGACGTTTATCCAGCAGGACCCTACGCTTTTCCCTGGGACGCTCCACGACAACCTCGATCCCGAGGGCAACTTCTCAGACCAAGAATGCCTCACGGCCATTCACCGCGTGCTGGGCCCGGCCTGGAGCCTCGACTCGCCCATCGACGCCGGCGGCAAGAACCTCAGCCAGGGACAGCGCCAGCTCGTGGGCATCGGCCGCGCCGTGCTGCGCCGGAGCGGGCTCGTCATCCTCGACGAGGCCACGGCGTCCATCGACCGAGGCACGGCGGCGGTGGTGCAGCGCATCCTGCGCCAGGAGCTGTCCGAGAGCACCGTCATTACAATCGCGCATCGCCTCGAGGCGGTGGAGCACGCCAACTGGTGCCTTCGTCTCGACCGCGGCCATGTCCTCGAATGCGGCCCGGCCAACAACTTGGGGAAGAGTGGCGTGACTGCAGAAGAGTGACGAGTCACTTCAAAATGAGTACAAGAAAGGTTCATGACGATTTCAACTGGGGCAGACATAGGGTTGGACAGTGGCTCTTCTTGCTGGGGTGTTTTGATATATCCACTTCATGTTATATGGCGAAGTCCATGCTTGGCATATGTTTCTTGGGCTACATATATGTAAATGGAACTTGTCGTAAGTGTAATTCCCCGAGACCTTGCTGCGCGCACTGCCAGATTTCCGATTCCCAACATCATCTTCTGTTTTTTTGAGACTTTATTCCCAATTGGTCAATATGGCTCCCAAACAAACTTTGAACACGGAGAAGAAGGCTCCAGCGAAAGGTTGTAAGAGGCGCTGGCCGGCAGAGGTGCGGGTTCTCATAAGGCCCCTTTTCACCGGCAGGGCCGTCTGCTGGGTTGTCAAGGCCCAGAAAGAGACGTCTTTCTCGGCAACGTTCCTTTATGAATGACAGCTGAACGGGAAACAGGCAGACAAGGGAGACTTGGCCCACCAAAATTTAGTGGGCACGCACTCCTGTCCTGTTCCATACCCTTGCCCGCCGCGACCCTTACCGCCCTACCCCCGTTTGTATGTAGTATTGTGATGCCTTTTCGGGCCCTTTTGAGGGGTTCGTGACCGTTGAAGATGCCAAGTCAGTCGTCAATCCATCTGCAAAGCTCGACAAACCCTGCCTTTAGCATGAAAAAGGATATCTCTAAACACGATTTCCGGTGCAGCCATGACCCAATCGCAACAGGAGCAGGACAGCATTAAATAGCTCCGCGAGAGGCTGGTTCGTCTTTACGCTGGGAAAATCGAGCGGCCGAGGCCATAAGGCCGCCGCCGTCAACGGCACCAGTGGCAGTCAACACCACGAAGACTGCCGTTATAGTCGCTACACAAGGCTTGCAATACCTTCCAACAACACGGTGATACATACGAGTCGGGTATATACATGCTATGGGCATATCGACAAACTATTCGCCGTACACCAGTCTCTCACGACGAAGATACGCTTGCCAGCGACCCTCAACCCGTCTCGTCACAACACCAGCTTATTAACCTCATACATGATAAAATCATCGTCGCAATACCCTTATACGCGACGCGCTCTTAGGCAAGGGCCTGCAAGATACCAAGCACAAGTCATAGAGACTGGCCGAGGGGGGGGTAATAACTGCACAATGGGACAAGGCGGACGTCCGTAGCAGTCTAAGAAGGACGGGCACGGCAAGATTTGTATGAGGTAGGCCTCTTATAGAGACACACTAGTCACAACGCCGCCGGGGCGCACATAACACAACATTCTAGCCCTGCTGTAGTCTCTACTGTACGCACCTAATTGTGCGGCGTGGGCGTTGCGTCATGGCCGGCCACACTCATCCACTTTTTGGTCTACTGTACCTACTAAACAGGATGGTGTACGCGTCAACAAAAGGGGCCAAAAAGGCTTTGGAGCCGCCTGAATTGATTTCAGGCGAAAAACAGCGGGAAAAGACGTCTTGTTTGGCAACTTTCCCTAATGAAGCATCGACGCGGCGCTTCCTAGCGCGATACATGCGGAATAGGGGTTCACATGCAACTACGAAAGGAGGAGTCTCGAGCCTGTCAAATACATACACGGAATATGCAGCTAACTCGAGTGAGGATGCTCTTCTAGCCGGTGTGCGCGGCCGCCGTTTTCCCGTTCAGCTGTCGTCGATCAGGCCCTAAATTAAGAAACACTAAACACTATCCGCCAGTGCATCTCGCAAACTGCTGCCTGCCTAGCTGGAGACGGCGGACACTACGGAGTACGGCGGCCCCTGCGGCGGCACCGACACTGGGGCCTGGGAGAACCTTATGCCATCAGGGGCGGTAACTCGATCCATCACGGCAGGAATGTGGCCATGCCCGTCAGAGACTGGAACAAATGGGGCCCTCTCGAGGACGGGGCGAGGTGGGAACAATGGTAATTAATCAATCCCATTTCGGTTTGGTATCTCTGGACTCCTCGGTCTCATGGACGTGGTGAGGTCAGGTTTCCTCCACAACGAGGGGCTTAGTGAGTTGATGAGCCACTTCCATCCGAGCCGCGAGGTAGTTGTGCGCCGCTCGTCGTTCCTCTCGGACCAGCGTCAACCGCTGCTTGAGTCAAGGCCAAGCGTCGAGAGGCTCTAGTTCTGAGGCATCGCGTCTCGACTCTACACGCGCAAGTTTGTGGTCATCCTAAAAGGTGTGATGATCAGGTGCTTGTGCTACCTGGATCGTCGAGAAGATGGCGTGCAGGACAGATGGAGGTGCAATTTGGGTTCGTGCCTGAAACATGCAACAGCGACAGCAGATGGCATTGATGGACACGAGGCACTCCTTGTTCGTGTCTTCTTACATGCACCATCTCTCGCCGTATCCAAGCTTTAAAACTGTGGCTTCGTATTTGGTTTCTACATGTGGCCAAGCCTCGATGGAGGCCGCAAGTTACGTACATGGGCATTGTTCACCGTTAGCTTCACGTCTCAGCCTTGATTCATTGTATACGACCATAGTCTATTTGTAAAATGGGCCGCGGTTCACTACGCGCGGCAAACCTTACTGCGAACTGGCTAGCACGACCGGCGATGGCCGGGTCGTGTGTCATCCGTGCACAGTCAATGCTGAGTGCTGTGTTGAACGGGCATCTGTCACTATTTGTAAAGAGGACATGTTGAGCGAGTATAAAGAATGTCGTTGGATCCTCCTTCCATTGGTTTTTGGACATCCATCCTGACCTCGCCAGCCCAGTGCATCTCTTCGAATACCTTTTAATATCTTCAGTTGCCTTATACAGTTGCCTTATACACTCTGTCCATTCTTCTAGACCATCTATTCTTCACATCTATCTAATTAGAAGCTTCATCCATACTTGGCCTTGACGACATACTAGACTTCCTTTAGATATCCCATCAACTCCACGACCTCCGACACAATGGCCGCCGCTAGCAACATGAAGCTCTACCTCTTCGGTGACCAGACATTCGACGTCCAGCCCCAGCTCAAGGCCCTGCTCCGGCAGAGGAACAACCCCGTGCTGGAGGAGTTCCTGGCCAAGGCATACGAGGCGCTGCGAGGCGAGATTTACGAGCTGCCTTACGAGGCGCGACAGAGTGTGCCGCGCTTGACGAGCCTCGATGACTTGGCCTCGTGGAACGAAGGCGAGAAGCGATCCATCGCTCTCGACATGGCGGTGACGTGCATCTTCCAGCTGGCCACGTTTATCGTGTAAGTGTTTCTCTCTCTCTGGCCCTCTCACCTCTCTCTCACTTCCCCTTTCTCTCACACACACATACACACTCTCTCTTACACTCTCTCTCACTCCCCCTTTCCCTGCACACACACACACACTCTCTCTCACTCACTCTCTCACTCCCTCTCTCTCACTCTCTCTCACTCTCTCTCACAACAAACACAGCGCTGACTCTCCTTCCAGCCAAGCCAAGAACGGCAGGGTCGGTGGCGACGAGGCTCGCGTCGTCGGCATCTGCACAGGCGCACTGGCCGCGGCAGCTGTCAGCTGCAGCGACAACCTGCTGGAGCTTGTGCCGCTGGGCGTGGCCGCTGTCAAGGCCGCGTTCCGCGTCGGCAAGCAGGTGGCGGACGCCGGGCAGCGCATTGCGCCCCGGGCCGACTCGAAGGACCAGAGCTGGTCCATGCTTGTGGCGGGCGCATCGTCGGAAGCGGCGGTGCGCGACTTCTGCGAGCAGTCGGTGAGTCAACGACGACAGCCCTGCCACCTTCCCACCCTCTCTACCCGCATCACACATACTGTCACACATACTGACGGCCACAGTCGCTCCCCATCACGAGCCAGCCCTACGTCACCGCCTACTCGCCCAGCGGCATCGCCGTCGGCGGGCCGCCACAGACGCTGGCCCAGCTGGCGGGCTCGCCCGGCTTCCAGGGCGTGCGCTCGCGCGCCGTCCCCGTCTACGGGCCCTACCACGCGCCGCACCTGTACTCGCAGCTCGACGTCGCCGCCATCGTCGACGGCCTCGCCCCCGCCGGCGACGCCCACGAGCGCGTGCCGCTGCTGGCCAGCACGTCGGCCGCGACTCCCGCCAGGCCCCGGGCCTTTGACGCCCTGCTCGAGGCCGCCGTGGCCCAGATCCTGCTGCAACCCATCCGCTGGGCCGCCGTCCTCGACTCTCTCCAGCAGAGCCTGCGCGAGGCCCAGCCCGCGTCCTTTGCCGTCGTGCCGCTGGCCACGACAGCCGACCAGCTCGTGTACGAGGCGCTGCAGCAGACGCCCCTGCGCTCGCTGGTGCCCTCGTCGCTGCCGCCGCGGCCGCAGCAGCAGCAGACGCGCAGCAGCGGCAACGCCAGCAAGTCCAAGCTGGCCATCATCGGCATGTCTGGTCGCTTCCCCAGCGCCAGTGGCAACGATGCCTTCTGGGAGCTGCTCCACCAGGGCCTCGACGTGCACAAGACGGTGCCGGCCAAGCACTGGGACGTGCGGACGCACGTGGACCCGACGGGCAAGGCCAAGAACACGAGCAGGACGCCCTTTGGTTGCTGGATCGACGAGCCAGGCCATTTCGACGCCCGCTTTTTCAACATCTCGCCCCGCGAGGCGCCACAGATCGACCCGTCCCAGCGGCTCGCGCTCATGACGGCCTATGAGGCGCTTGAGCAGGCCGGTATCGTGCCGGATGCCACTCCGTCGACTCGTCGTGACCGCGTTGGCGTTTTCTATGGCGTCACAAGCGACGATTGGCGCGAGACAAACGCCGCGCAGAATATCGACACATATCTCATCCCTGGTGGCAACCGCGCATTCATCCCCGGGCGAATCAACTATTACTTCAAATTCAGTGGGCCAAGCTATGTTGTTGATACGGCCTGCTCGTCGAGTCTTGCGGGCATCCATTTGGCCTGCAACTCGCTCTGGAACGGCGACGTCGATATGGCTATCGCGGGCGGGACAAACGTCCTGACGAACCCGGACCTGTTCGCTGGCCTCGACCGCGGCCACTTCCTCTCGCGGACGGGCAACTGCAAGACGTTTGACGATGGCGCTGATGGCTATTGCCGCGGCGAAGGCGCCGCTACCGTCCTCCTCAAGCGCCTGGACGACGCCCTGGCCGATGGCGACCCGATCCTGGCCACCGTCTTGAGCACCTCTACCAACCACTCGGCCGAGTCTGAGTCTATTACTCGCCCAAGCGAAGGGGCTCAGCGCGCCATCTTCAAGAAGATCCTCAACCAGGGCGGCATCGACCCGTACTCGGTCGGCTATATCGAGATGCATGGCACCGGCACCCAGGCCGGCGATGCGAGCGAGATGTCGAGCGTCCTTGGAACCTTCGCCCCGGCCGGCGCCCCCCGCCCCCGAGGCCCGGACGAGGCGCTCTACCTCGGCTCCGTCAAGGCCAACATCGGCCATGGCGAGTCGGCGTCGGGCGTGTGCAGCCTGGTCAAGGTCCTGCTCATGCTCAAGAAGGATACCATCGTCCCGCACTGCGGCATCAAAACGCGTATTAATCAGAAGTTCCCTACCGACCTGGCCGCCCGCAACGTCAACATCGCCATGGAGCCGACCCGCTGGGCCCGCACCTCGGCGCCGCGCCGGGCGCTCATCAACAACTTCAGCGCCGCCGGCGGCAACACGGCCCTCCTGCTCGAGGACGCGCCCGCCCGTCCGGAGACGCCGGCCGGGCCTGCCGACCCGCGCGGCCCGCACCTCGTCGCCTGCTCGGCCAAGAGCGTCGTCTCGCTCCAGGGCAACCTGCGCGCCCTGCAGGCCTTGCTCCGCGCCAGCCCGGACATGGCTCTGGGCCAGCTGTCGTACACCACGACGGCCCGCCGAATCCACTACAAACACCGCGTCATGCTGGCCGCCACGTCCATCAACGACGTGTGCGCCCAGATCGACGCCGCCCTGCGCGACAGCGCCGGCACGACGGCGGTCAAGACCGTGCCCCGTCTTCTCTTCACCTATACCGGCCAGGGCGCCCAGTACCCCGGCATGGGCCGCCAGCTGTTCGAGCACCTGAGTTTCTTTCGCCGCGAGATCTCCCTTCTCGACCAGATGGCCCAGAACCTCGGCTTCCCCGCCTTCCTGCCCTTCATCACGGCGCCCGACGGCCAGGATATGGCTGCCTTCTCGCCGACGACTATCCAGCTGGCTGCCGTCTGCATGCAGATTGCCCTGACGAAGCTATGGTCGTCGTGGAACGTGACGCCTGCCGCCGTTGTCGGTCATAGCCTGGGCGAATACGCTGCTCTCAACGCCGCCGGCGTGCTGTCTGACGCCGATGCCGTCTATCTCGTCGGCCGCCGTGCCCAGCTCCTCGAGGCCAAGTGCACGCGTGATACGCACGCTATGCTCGTCGTCAGGGGCTCGACCGACGAGATTGCCCGCGCCCTCGACGGCCGCTTCAGCTACGAGACGGCCTGCATCAACTCGCCGGTGGAGACGGTCCTGGCCGGGACCAGCGGCCAGGTGGCAGACCTCGCCGCCGCCCTTGGCGAGGCCGGCTTCAAGACGACGATGCTTTGCGTCCCCTATGCCTTCCACTCGTCCCAGGTCGAGCCCATCATGGACGACTTCAAGTCCGCCGCCAGCGGCGTCACTTACTCGACCGCCCGCGTTCCTGTCTTGTGCCCGCTCGACGGCTCCGTCATCGCCGAGGGCAGCGCCGGCGACTTTGGCGCCGACTATCTGGCCCGCCACCTGCGCCAGCCCGTCAACATGCAGCAGGCACTCCTCACCGCCCGGAGCAGCGGCCTCGTGACGGATCACACGTCAGCGCTCGAGCTCGGCCCGCACCCGGCCGTCGGCGGCATGGTCCGGGCCGTGCTCGGCCAGAAGGTGACGACGCTGGCGACATTGCAGCGCGGCCGCCCGGCCTGGGAGACGCTGGCCGCGACGCTCAAGGCCCTCTACACCGCCGGCGCCGAGATCCGCTGGCCCGGATACCACCGCGACTTTACCGCCTCGCACGTCGTGTTGCCCCTGAACGCCTATAGCTGGGACCTCAAGGACTACTGGATCCAGTACGTCAACGACTGGACGCTGCGCAAGGGTGACCCGCCCCTAATCCTGCCTGGATCGTCATCGAGCCCTGTGGACGGCCTCACCAGTACCACGATCCACCGCATCGTCGAGGAGTCGGGCTCCGCAACGAGCGGCCAGATGGTGGTCGAGGCCGACATAGCCCGTGAGGACCTCAGCCCCCTCGTCCAGGGCCACGAGGTCGACGGCGTCCCGCTCTGCACGCCCTCTGTCTACGCCGACATGGCCCTTAGTCTCGGCCGCCATCTGGCGCAGACCTACAGCCTGGGCCAGGCCGCCGGCGTCATCGACGTCTGCGACCTGACCATCTGCAAGGCTCTGATCCTGTCCGCCGGCACCACCAAGCAGCTGCTGCAGGCCCACGTCAGCTGGGCCGCCGGCAAGGCGGACATCAAGTTCATGTCCTTTGACAACAAGCAGCGCCTGCAGGAGCACGCCCGCTGCGCCGTCCGCTTCCCCGATGGCGGCCTCCAGAAGCAGCTGCAGGCCAAATTGGCCACTACCAAGCAGAACATGAAGACGCTGCGCGATGGCCTCGCGTCTGGCAAGACGGCCCGCTTCAATCGGCCAATGTTCTACCGCGCTCTCCGCCCGCTGGCCCGCTTCCACGAGGACTATCGCGCTGTCGATGAGGTTCTTCTCGATAGCGATACGCTTCAGGCATCCAGTCGCCTCAGCTTTAATACCGTCAAGAAGGACGGCCACTTCCATACCCATCCGGCTATTATCGACGCTCTTACCCAAGCCAGCGGCTTTTCTGTCAACTGCAATGATAACAATGACCTCGATGTGGAAGTCTTTATCAATCACGGTTGGGGCTCATTCCAGACCTTTAAGCCGATTGACTTCAATAAGGTCTATACTACCTATACTCATATGAAAGAGGGGGCCGATAAGCTATGGAAAGGTGACATCGTTGTCTGCGATGGCGATGAGGTTGTCGCTGCCTTTGGCCAGCTTGCGGTATGTGCCCGTCAACTTACCTGAATCATAGGTATATATATGCTGACCTCCCACTCTAGATGCAAGGCGTCCCTCGCAAAGTCCTGAGGGTGATCCTGTCTATCGAGAGCGGCGAAAAGACTCGGAAGCAGCAGCCGCAGCAGGTCGAGAAGCCTCGGAAGCAGCAACAGCAGAAGCCTGCCGCCCCTCCGGCCAGCAACCCTCGACAGGCGGCAGCCGAGCCTACCGGCGTCAACCCCTCCAGTCTGGCCAAGGCGCTTCAGATCATCTCCGAGGAGAGCGGGCTCGGCCTCGAGGAGCTTGGTGACGGAGTTGCCTGGGGCGACGTCGGCATCGATTCCCTTCTCGGCCTGAGTATTTCGGCCCGCTTTAAGAACGAGCTTGACATAGACCTCGATTTTAACGCCTTCTTTTACGAGTACCCCCTCATCGGCGACCTCAAGACCTTCTTTAACGGCCAGACCGCTACCTCGACCCCGCCCTCTTCCGACAGCGAGGCCAGTAGGTCCGTATCGAGGACCTCGAGCGTCACCGACGTCACCATGCTCGAGAGCCCCTTCCCCGAGGTCGACTTCAAGCGCGCCCTTACCATTATCTCAGAGGAGAGCGGCTTGGAATTAGAAGACCTAACCGACGATACCAACTTTGCCGACTCAGGCGTTGATTCCTTGTTATCCCTTGTCATCGTCAGCCGCTTCCGGAGCGAGCTCGGCCTCGATATTCAGCATGAGTCGCTCTTCCTCGAGTGCTCGACCGTCGCCGACATTAAGAAGCTGCTGGCCCCAGACTCGGAGGTTAAACAGGAGAAGAAGCCTGCTATCGCCGAGGCTGCCATAGACCAGAGCTTCTCCGATGTCGACTTCAAACGCGCCCTTGCCATTATCTCCGAGGAGAGCGGCTTGGGATTAGAAGACCTAACCGACGATACCAACTTTGCCGACTCGGGCGTTGATTCCTTGCTATCCCTTGTCATCGTCAGCCGCTTCCGGAGCGAGCTTGACCTCGATATTCAGCATGAGTCGCTCTTCCTCGAGTGCTCGACTGTTGCCGACATCAAGAAGCTGCTGGCCCCAGACTCGAATGTTGAGGAGGAACAGCCTGCCATCGCCGAGGCCACCAAGGAGCAGAGCCAGCAGACGGTCAAAGCCGACCATGAGAAGGACACGGCTGCGCGCGCAGCCCGCAAGGCGGCCGTCGACGAGCTCGTGGCCAAGCATGTCGCCGACTTCTCTGGCCCGACGTCGTCGCCCCAGCGCGCTGACAGCGGCAAGGTCGTCCTGGTCACGGGTGCCTCGGGCAACCTAGGCTGCTACCTGGTCACGCATATCGCGCAGCTGGCCGATGTCGAAGCCGTCGTCTGCCTCAACCGCAAAAACCGCAGTGAGGCTAACGAGCGTCAGGACAAGGCCATGACAACCAGAGGCATTCGTCTCCCCGAGGCGCTCAAGCATAAGCTACAGGTCTATCAGACAGATTCGGCCAAGCCTCGACTTGGCCTCTCGGAGAGCGACTACGAGCACCTGGCCGGCTCCGTTACGCACCTGGTGCATAACGCATGGCCTATGAGCGTCAAGCGGCCCCTCGCCGGCTTTGAGTCGCAGTTTCAGGTGATGCGCAACCTTATCGACCTAGCCCGCGATGCCGCCTCGCGCCGCCCGGAGTCGTTCAAGTTTAGCTTCCAGCTGGTGTCGTCTATTAGCGTTGTCGGCCATTACGGCACAGCTGGGCACAGCGGCAGCATTAGCGACAGGATTACAGTGCCCGAGCAGCGGATGAATATCGACGCAGTACTGCCTACTGGCTATAGCGACGCTAAGTGGGGATGCGAGCGCATGCTCGACGAGACGCTACACCAGTATCCTAACCGCTTCCGTCCTATGGTCGTCCGCCTAGGTCAGATCGCCGGGTCCAGGGCGAGCGGATATTGGAATACCGCGGAGCACTTCCCCTTCCTCATCAAATCGTCGCAAACGCTTCAAGCGCTGCCCAACGTTGACGGTACCGTCTTCTGGACGCCTGTTGACGACGTTGCCGGTACGCTCTCGGACCTAGTCGTATCGGATCGCAAGCCTCACGACTTTTACCACATCGATAACCCCGTCGGCCAAGAGTGGCGCGGGACAAGCGCTATCCTCGCCGACGCGCTCAATATTCCCAAGTCGAACCTTATCCCCTTCCATGAATGGGTTGAGCGCGTCCGCCGGGCCCCCGCTCACAACAATCCGGCCTCGGCCCTGGTCGACTTCCTCGATAGCAACTACTTGCGCATGTCGTGTGGCGGCCTTGTCCTGGGCGTTGAGAATGCACTTGAGCACTCCAAGACGCTCTCTTCGACCGGGCCTGTCAGCGAGGAGGTGATTCGCAGCTATATTCACTCCTGGAAATCGCTTGGCTTCCTGACCTCCTAGAGGCGGAAGGGCGCCATCGAACTTGGGTGTTTTCTATTTCTTTCTTGTCTTGTCTTGTCTTTTGTCACTTTTTTTCCTTTTGTCTTAGGCTTCGCTACATGTGGTTTAAAAGGGATTGGGCTGGCTATAGATTTAGACTGGAATATTGATGTCGCATAATACAGCAAGTATTCACACACAGATTCACATTATGCTGTAACGGTCTCAACTGAGTGTAGTGACAACTAGCAGAGCGACTGCAATAAGTATCTGTTGAGGGGGGCTGAGCCCAGAGGGCCGACCCGAACCCAGAGGATCCAAAAGTCGGAAAAGGGATCTGCGGGCCAAGGCGTGCAAAGGACGTGACTTGCGTATAGAAACATCTTAATACCCTCTTTTAGCTAGTTATCCAGGTTTCTTATACCTATATAAAGCTACCAATGGCTATACAGTTCTTGCATTAAGAGAGAGAGTATGGATTGCGCTATCCTCCTAAAAGGGGATATGTGTACATAATGTACGAGGGCCAACAGGATTCTGTGTTAAACAAGCCGGAAACAGATATCCGGATCCGTATGGGACTTCCTGTGTGTTTTACACGTTAACCGCCGCATTTGTTGCCTCTAGAAGCGTCCCTAATGCTCTTACCTGCATCCGTCACTAGTTGGCGCACCCTGCTGATGCGAGAAAGCCACGGTGCTAGAACCACCATGGTAAAAGGCCTTGTCGCGACCCCTACCTAGTTAAGGACATACGATGTAATTAACTCTAGGCCAAAGTGAAGTACTGAGATGCATGGGCTATAGTGCACCATCTCCCAATAGGTAGACTAAGACATATACTGCTAAATTTTACTTCTCAATGTAATGGTCTTAGCCCGAATGGGCAAAAGTAGTGGTCGTGCTATGCGTGTGAAGTGACAAGAGGGATCGAAATTGACTAAGCGATAGCTTTGTCAACCAACCACACATAAGAACGTTTGTTCCAGACCAAACAACCAAGGTGTCCCATGACACCTTGAAGAATTTCCATGGTGCTAGAGTTAGGGGGTACTAAAGGCTAGGGGGACTGATTAGTTTTTCGGTCCTCATTATGGTTATAGCCAGGAATACTTGCTAATAAATGCTTTCTTGTATCGAGATATTCTAGACAGAAACCGTCGCTTCCGCTAACTGCAAACACTTTGCTCTGCCTACGCCTTAGTCGGGTGTAGAGACAATAGATGCTTGTTACCTACAGCGAGAGATACATCAAGGCCATAACAAGGTAACTGTTTATTGGAGCCAAGATGACGACTCCCCCGCCAAGGAACAAACGAGAAAGAACACGCCGTGAATCCACCGAGACCAAGGCCCCAACAAGGCTGTCTGCAATATGAAACTGCCACCGGTCTGCTTTTCTATATTCTCAGAGCGAAGGGCGCACGCATCATCAGTCCGAGCCACGACAAGATTGTACAATCCTCTAGAATCAGAGTAGAAGTTGTCCGGAAATCAACGGCAATCATGCTCGGACGCCAAAATTCCCCAAAGTGGCTAGCTCACCTAAATATCGGGCTCGCCGGTCTCTCCTTGCGCCTGTCATCGCCGCATTCTCCCTAGAGATTCCATGGGATTTCGTTGATTTTCGTCTACTAAATAGAATGAGTTAAAGTGCCTGGCACTAAGGAAACACACAAGCTCCGCTAAGTGCTCTTGTTACTAGGCCCTTGTTCAGGTCTTCTTGGTTGATTGCATCCCTTGCATCCACGAGAATCGTCTCGTGCTGGCGGCTAGCTGCAATAAGCTTCTCTAGCGGCCACACGGGCCTGTGGTCGATGAAGCAATCCATTCGCCGCATTCGGTCGTGCTGCTTCGAGTGCTTTTTCACATCAAGTTTAGCCGTCACGGCGGACCCGGGCGCGTGACGGATAAGCAAGTGACTTTATATTACAAAAAGACATTTCTCCCTCCTCATTTTTCATGTTGTTCGAGACACCAGACCTCGCAGCATTGCCTCAATCATCGAAACACATTATTCGCCCCCCGACTCTGAACCATCCCGATGTCATCCTCCTCTCAACAAGGACGCCCCTTGGCGGGGAAGGTGGCGCTGGTCACCGGCGCCGGCCGAGGCCTCGGACGGGGAATCGCAGTCGAGCTGGGGCAGCGGGGAGCCTCGGTGGTGGTCAACTATAACAGCGCCGAGGCCAGGGCCAAGGAGGTGGTTGCCGAAATCGAGAAGGCAGGCAGTAGCGCCGTGGCCATCAAAGCGGATGTGAGCAAGGTGCCTGAAATCAAACAACTCTTTCAGCAGACGATTAAAAAGTTCGGCAAAATCGATATTGTCGTATCGAATTCGGGCACGGAAATGTTCAAGCCCGAGGACAAGGTCACGGAAGAAGACTACGACCGCGTCTTCAACCTCAATACCCGAGCCCAATTCTTCGTTGCCCAGCAGGCCTACGTGCATCTCGAGAAGGGAGGCCGCATCATCCTCATGTCCTCTGTCGCGGCAACCATGGCGGGAATCTCTGACCACGCGCTCTATGCCGGCAGCAAGGCGGCTATAGGGGGCTTTGCCCGCAGCTTCGCTGTCGATTGTGGCCACAAGCAAATCACTGTCAACGCCATCGCCCCAGGCGGGGTCAAGACTGACATGTACGACGAGTAAGTGCAGTGACGAATGCTCGTAACAATATCAAGAACGCTATGCTCACGCAGCATAGTAACGCGTGGCGTTATTGGCCCGGTGCCAGCGCGTCATCGTCCATGGACGAAATCGACCAGAAAGTCGCAAACTCTAGCCCTCTTAAGAGGCTTGCTGTCTCCCAGGACATCGCGCGTGTGGTGGCATTCTTGTCCAGCCCAGATAGCGAATGGGTTAATGGTAGGTTACCAGATCCCAGTCTCTGGTTGCTCGTCAACATCACTGACACACAGCAGGTCAGGTTCTCCTTTGCACTGGAGGTTCCTACTGAGTACATGTGGAAGGCTGGGACCAGGAGGGAAATCAGGAAGGGAACGATTTTAGGACGCATGAGTGGTTGATAGCAGACTGAGAAGTACATGTAACTGCAGTCGTGAAATAGTCGACGTGATTAGGTAGTGGATTGCATATATAAAGTGTTGGAAAAGCCATGAAACTCATCTTCCTTAAAATATAGAATCTTTTTATGTAAACCTCATGTCTTATGTGCAATGACATCCCTATCTCCGCCTCTGTAACATGGTAGCATCTGAGTCCACTTTACCTGGTTTCTCCTCCTAGATATCGATGTAGAAGTCTTATAACCTCTGTATTCTGGGTCTTTAGAAGATCTGTAATTATCTGGTGCGAATTCCAGGCCTTCCTTCTAGCCTTGGTCCTTTCTGCCTTTTATTATTCTCAGGACATAGCCTACGACGTAGAGTCCTTTATGGCACCGCTTATTTATCGCCCCTCGTCTTTCTTAAGTTCTCTACGTCGCGAAGACCACTGCGCCACGCGGGCAAAAGTGGAATGTATACTCCAATAAGTGCACTACAACTGACAGGTATCTAACGGCCGAGTATTCCGATACACGCCGTTAAGGATTACGGCTCCACGGGAATTCCTAGATGGTCAAGAAGCAGGAATTAAACACGTACCATGCCTATAACCGAAGGAAATCCAAGAGAGATAGTTACTGTGTCAGGACAAGAAAGGGCCTATAATGCGCGTTAGTAACACCTCTATTGGGGGTGCCCTCATTTTGCATGGTGTAGCGGTATTTTACCAGCTTGACAGTTACCGTAAAACTCGATAAATTCGCCAGGTCTTCGAGGTCTGGGGAGCGCGGGCTACCAGGACTAGCCCCAGACTCAGTCTATACTGATTAGAAATCCGCTCATACTAGCCCTAGCTTCAAAAATGACTCCACAAAGCACGAATGTGTGTGCGTGTGTCGAGCCGGAATAGCTAGGGCTGGTACGAACGGATCTATACCAAGTACAAATGAGGTGTGGGACTAAATCCTAGTAGCCCCGCTGCCCCAGACCTCGAAGACCCGGCGAATTTATTGAGCTTATGGTATTAATAAGGAATTATACCTTATACTATTTATAGCTAATTGTGCTTGTTAGCTAGAGCCGTGCCCCTTGATAATCGAGGCGTAATCTGAAAGCGTGGCCTACTACTAGCGCTCGAGGGCACTGGGCAAAAACATAGCTCAAGTGGCGTCATTTAAAGGAAATCTAAAAGAAACCTCGATTTCTTCTCATACTCAGTGAGGTGCAAAGTTCCTCGCTTTTCCACTATCGTTTTAGCTGGCGAGGTGGAGATGACGGAAGAGAGCTGGCGTCTAGGGTGTTTATCTATAAATTCAATTCAAATTGCGGTCAATGCCGCATTTGGCTTTCAGCTTCCCCTGCTCAACCCTGCTGCTTGCTGCAAATACACCATGAGAGGCTCCAGCTTAGAAACTAATCCTCTATCGTTCTCGCCTGGGCGAGAGTAAAACAGCAGGCCAGTGCACGTCGTACTGCACCGTAGCGGGTTAAAGGAGAACGCAGCCGCATGAAGTATAAAGCCGGGGTTCTCGCTACAACTTCAATACCATACATCTTCCTTTTGACCCCATTCCGCGCGGTTGTCGACACCATGGATCCATCTCCCACTAACGGTACTAAGACCTCCTCGCGAGGGGGCTCACTCGAACCCCTGACCTTCCAGGGTGAGACCTTCCAGGCAAGCCTCGGTTAAGCAGGGTCACTGATGTAGCCAGAGTATCTCGAACTGAGCAACTTGGCTTTCAATTGGGGAGATAGCTATGATGCAAAGGCAGGTGGTGAAATGCCCTCTGGGTGCCGCATGTTTGACTGCTAACGTCACCCGGGTTTTCCACTTCCAGGATTGGGCTCGATTGAAAAGCATCATCGCACCCACTCTTTTCGTTGACTACACGCAAATCGGAAAGGGGAAATGGGAAGCCATGCCAGCGGAGGACTTCATGGCGATGGCGTCTCATGATGACTTCCTTGGCGATCCTTGCGTCAAAACCCAACACCTGTTTGGCGCAACCCGATGGGAGCGGCTATCGGAGTCTAAATTCGTTGGACATCATCAGCTCCGGGTTGCGCATCAGGTATACACGGCGCCGGACTTCAAGACGGTCAAGGTACGGGGCCACGGCCATGCTACGAATGAACATTACTATACCAAGATTGACGGGGTGTGGAAATTTTCAGGCATCAAGTCTTGCGTTAGATGGTTCGAGCATGACTTTGAGAAGGTCTTCAAGGGCTCCTACAAGGACGGGCAAAGTTGAGGTTCTTTCCTATATATTGCGAAGTCGCATAATTCCCGCTGGCTAGATAGAAACTAACAGTTCTTTAGCCCCTGACTTATATGCCTGCTTTGCTTGTCACCCATTTAAATCTGGTATTTCCAAACTTTCATGAAACCTTACAACGTAGCCATGACATAAACAGTATATAAATCCCTTCAAACCTGATAGACTCTCTTTGTGTGATAGAGCAAGGATATATATAGCTGCTATTAAAATACCACATACTACCCGCCCCATATCCTCTGTCAGGAACCGCCTATTGCCAGAATACTAGTACAGCCCGCCGCCGGGCATTGTCTCCCCCGACGGAAGATGCGGTTGTTAGATATATGTCGATTGCAGCGCACCTATTGGAGTATGTATCTGTCAGCTGCCACCAGCACCCCCATGGCATATAGGGTCCACTGTCATGTCTTCTGTTTGAGTGTCACTTCACTTTTGCCTGCACAACCCCGTGGTTTCCTCACAGTATCCCACTTTTGCCTGCTTGACACAGTAGTCTTTGTGACAGTTACAAGCACGGAGGGAGTAGCTAACCACCCCCATTCTCTTGGTACCTGCGTGCAGTGTAGGGTTTAGTCCCCTATAGATGACTACCCCTCTTGATTAGGCATGGTGCATGGTGTTTGAATCCCGCGTCTTGGCCTATAGTCCAGAAATCCCGGTGGAGCCGCGATTCCTGAGGGGATGCGTCGGAAGACCCGGTCGTTAGATATATGTCAATTGCGGCGCACCTGTTAGAGTGTGCATTCCACTTTCGCCTGCGTGGCGTAATGGACTACGCGACACCAATTTGAGCACTACCGTTAAGCTGGTAAAATACCGCTACACAAGGCAATACATGGGTACCCCCAATGGAGGTGTTACTAACTCGTATGATAAGTCCTTTCTCGGCTCTGATGGTTACATATAAGCCTCTCGACACACCCCCTTGGGGATCCTGGACCGCGGGATCTCTTGACCCAAGAAAATAAGTAAGCTCCAAGACAAACGGTGACTTAAACGCACGAGGATATATGCTCTTAAGTAGTCCGCTGGCAGGTAATGCCGGAAGTTACAGGGATGATTCGCCATCCATCCCGGGGTTATAAGAGTGGGAACCGCTTGTTTAATACAGGTAGCCATGTTAATTAACACTGGTATGAGCTTTGCGACGACACGAGTAAAGCTCAAGCTCACCGAGGTAAGATTGAACCTAAGGTAACTTTAAATGCTCTATGTCGGCTTTGAAACCTTACGCCTGAATACCGTCACGTCCAGGCCGCGGCTTCGTTGTAATAATCAAACGTATATGCTGTTGCATAAATTACTTTGGACACTTCTCTATTAATTGCCTTCGCTATCTTTGCACCGAATAATGCCAATTGTCTCACGGAAATGTTATACGGTTCACTCTTTACCCTTACCGGTTTGCTATCATCTAACCCTACCAAACGTAACCTTCACTCTAACCCAAGACACGCTTCCTCCCTCTACAAATGAGACAGCCCCCACCTTAGGAACAGTTCTACCTCGCCTTCTCTGTTCGAGTGGCATGTCGACATTGACAGTGGGGTGTACGCTTTAACATTACGCACAAATTATCATGTTTTGTCACAAACAAACTCACATTTAGCGTTTGAAAGGGCGTGCCTATATAAGACCGTAGCTCAAGTTTGAGTTTGAAGCTTTTAAGGCCAACCAAAGTACACCATCTTTTTACGTGCTTCTAGCCTCGTCGAGTACTCGAGCTAACTATCGGTCGCGTCGTCTTACATAATGCAGGTTCTTGAGAGCTTGGATTTTGGTAGCAGCATTAGCGGGCCCGAGGACATCGTGACGGCCCCCGAGATGCGCGAGCTGTGCCTCGCAACCGTCGCCGCGGCCTAGACTGTCAATGATTCCGTGCGCTTGCGCCAGGAGATCAGGGAGGGCTTCAATAAGGATATCGTTTGCGATGCTCTCACGGCGACGCCCGACGGCCGAAGGGGGCTTGACGCTGCTGTCGTCCGGTTGCAATACGAGATCAACGCCGTCAACAAAGCCGCCGGGGCCGCGACTAAGCGATTCGCACATTGCTCTTATGCTCAGAATATTACCAAAAACATGTGCAGGGCAAACTGGCTCCAGAGGTCCGTGTGCCCTCACAATGCACCACATTGCTACGACTAACTCGAAGCAGTACTGGGGCTTCTTGGTACTGCCTCTGGGACATTACCCCGGATGCGGAAAGGGTGTAACTTACCAGAACTCCTTTACGATTGAAGCCCCCCCCCCCGACTGGTTTCAGCTGATATGAGGTCATGCGGCCAAGGTGACATTGGGAGTCGCTACAAATCTTGAATCAATTGTAAAATAGGCGGCGCTTTTACTGCGCACGGCCAGAAAACCTACTTTGTACTTGGTGCTCTGACTCCCTTTCCTCCATCCCAGGCTAACTGGCTAGCGCAAACCGGCGATCGCCGAATCGTCGTCTGGATCCGTGCAGTCAGTCGACACCTAAGGGGGCGGGGAGCGCACTATAAGAGAGAGCTCTAAGGAGCAGGCGGTCGGGTGGGCATCTCGTGTCATAGTGTCCCTATACGCTGCAGAGATAGGTATAAACATCCAATAGCACAAACCAGATCGACGACGACGACGAGGTGATCCCAGTCGACCTTTTACCGCGACCCCTTTCAGCCTCTTCCCGCATAAGAAACAAGCATGGCCACTAAGAAAATCATACTCATTACTGGTCAGTAAAGCTCATCTGGGGAGTCCATCAGAGACTCCTGCCGCTCTACAACGACCTCTCTGACTCGGCATCACAGGGGCCAGCGACGGCATCGGCTTAGAATCGAGCTACGCCATCGCCAATGCCTCGCCCTCTAATCACGTCATCATGGGCTGCCGGAGCCTCGAGAAAGGCAAAAAAGCGCTGGAGCAAGTCCAGGCCCGCAAACCGGCTGGCACAGTCAGCCTCGTGGAGCTGGACGTGACCAACGACTCGACCATCAAGGCCGCTGCCGACAAGATCACCGCAGATTTTGGAGTGCTTGACGTCCTGATCAACAACGCGGGCGTCTTCCCGGCCGGGACAAAGGAGAACCGGCGGGCGGAGATGATGCAGGCCTTCAATACAAACACGATCGGACCCATGGTGTTATTTGATTCGCTCGAACCGCTTCTTCAGAAGTCAGGGAACCCTAGGATCATTAACGTCTCTTCCGTTCTGGGCTCCATCAACAACAGACTGAATCCGCAATGGGAGCACTATAACGTTCTCGGAGAACCCTATCGCATATCAAAGGCGGGCCTTAATATGGCGTCGGCCTGCATGCTGAAGTACTCTAAGCAGTGGGGCGGGAAGGTTTGGACGTATTGCCCGGGATACGTCCTCACCAATATTCGGGGTGAGGGAGACCGCCAGCGCAGGATAGATACGGGCGCTGAGAGCGTCGAGACGAGTGCCGAGGGCTTGCTCGAGATCATTCAGGGGAAGAGGGACGGTGAGATGGGACTCTTCCTAGAGAGAAGGGGGAAGGTGTCTCCTTGGTAGAGGGAGGCAGTATGTCTTGGGGTTAGGTGACGTTACGTTTAGTAGAGTTAGTAGGGCGCCACTAAAGGAATTCACTAATAGTCAGGAATCCCTCTGCTGCTTCCCAACTGGCCCAATTTAACCATGTGCACTATATTAAACCTCCCCCTTCTATGTAGCGTATGGGAAGATGTTATTTAGTTAATCTAGAGTGGTAGATTGCTAACTCTAACTAACACTATTACTAGCTCGCAAGGTGCATTTATATCCCTGCTTTGTATTTAGCTGTAAAAACAGCATGTGGAAAGACAGGCTTGATAGACTGTAAAGGTATTCATCCTTGGTAGTGGTTCAGACGCTGGCCTAAACACCTGAAAGAAAAACGAATAGAGATGCAGAAAGAAGGGGAAATTGATGGTAAATCATCGGACAGGAAGCGAAAAGTTATTTGATTCTTTAGAGGGCAATAATGTCGGCTGGGCAGGGTGGTTTTGCATTTCCGTATTCTCCTTCCTTTCCTCTACCCAATGCCCCCTTTATATCCCTACGGCATCTTAATTGACAAATGAAATCCCATACCGTTATAGCATACGAATAGTAGCTTCCTACATTATACACTGCTCCTTTAATAGCTTTTGGCCACCTTTCTTGCGCTCTATAGACCGAGATGGGGGCGGATGCTGAGGGAATAGGGCTCGGCGCAGGCAAAGAGCCGCTAGCTGCCGCGCCTACGTCAACTTTGCTAACCACTTTGGCAAACGATTGAGGCCTATCTCAAGTTTTTCGTGGTATTGATGTTATGAGACGGGCTTTATACGACTGCTCCGCCATGGTGCAGTAATTATAAGGCTTGTAACTCTCAACAGAGGTTGAATCGGTTCGCGAGCCTCCTGCCGCGTTCCCCGTTGATGTGCGTGACCATTAATACGAGGGACCAAACAAAGGTGATGGTCGGCAAAACCCATGGACCTGATAGGAAGGCCTCACTCTTCTCCTCGTCATACCATAGCAAGGCAGTTAGACAGGTTCCCAAAGCTAAGAGATAGACGAGGACAATTCGGACAATGGGCCACGTCTTGAACGGCGCCGTCCGCGCGATGATGGCTAGTGTGGCCATTAAAGCGACGGTTGAGCCAGCTGAGATGTATCCATAGGCAAACTGTTGAGGCTTTCTGTTAGCAAGTGCACAGGGTCATGACTCAAGGGACAAACAGGTCAGGGGTCAGCCCATGGGGAGTGAATTGCATACCACTAGCCGACAGCGACTCCACGTTTTTTCATGGACCTTGAACTGCAGCGCGCCCCCTTTAAGGTTTTCTTGCGTCTTGGATTTTTGGGCGGTAAGTTCACCTTGGATCTCGATGCCGAACGATTGAAAAAGGACATTGCCAAGCGTTGTAACCAGGTAAAAGATTGAGTCGACAAATGTGCCGAATCCTTGCACGTTGCTGGTTCTCGAAATGTCGCCTTCAAAATCCCCCGAAGCGGAATATTTTGCAAGCGACGACCAGAAGCTATCAGGTATCGTGGTGAGGTTTCGGAGCGCGTCGTTGATCGTCTCGACCGTCTCCAGTGCTTTGGGGGGGTAGTCGCGGAGGAACGCCTGGACTGAAGCATTGATGCTATCTCGGACAGCAATGCTTGTCGTATTGAAGAGAAAGGCATCCTCGGATGGATCGGCAAAGTCTGTCAGACGGCGGATCTGGTTCCAGATTGTGGACCAGATGAGCCACTGGGTGAAGCTTTGCAAGTGTAAGACGAGCGCGAGATGGAGCGGCAGATGAAAACTCGCCCAAAGTTGCTGACGCAGGGCGGGCAGGTAGTAACCGGATCTCATCCAATCAAAATAGATTAAGAAGAGAAAGTAGATGGTTGTGGTGGCGGCCGTCACGAGCCCGATCGTGGTCGAATCTATACACGCAATTGTCAGCTTCTAGTTCATATCGGCCGTCTCAAATGGCCGGCCGTGGCGTGGCTGATTACCCCAAGCTTCCAGGTTCCTAACGATAATCACGACCTCTTTTGCCAGTTGGATAATGCCGTCGCCCATGATCATAACGGTGAGCAGCGTAATACGCTTCATCAAGTGCGTCTTGGTGAGGCTTGTCACGGGCGAAAAGTTCGATATGAGGAGACTGCCGATGGCCTCGGCTCCCGAGAAGAAATACCAGACCATATAGACTGGGCTCCTATTGTTGTTCCTAAAGCAGAACGCTACACCGAGATAAACCAATGACGAGACGATGTGGAGGCCGATTTGCGTATAGATGGGCAAACGGGCCCTCTTAAACTTCCTCAGATGCCACAGTGTAGCGCCGTATTCGACGGCCAGACACGCGCGTGAGACGGCGAGGATTATGGCTGGTACAGTCTTTAAGCCATCAAGACTACCGCACCGTCATGTGGAGTGCCATACGTACACATTGCGCGCATCGTGTCAGAGTGCTGGTCCGATGGGTCAAATTTGGGGGCCACGACGACGAAGCCGACCAGCACACCGAGCTGAATAGCCCTCGTCAGGCGAGCTTGTGATCGAGCCTGTCAGCTTGTTTGATCACCGAAGGGGTCGATGGCGAGTTTGGTTGACGCACAAAAGATGCTGTCTGTGACATAGCGAACGTCGAAGAGGGTGACGAGAAACCAAGTCAACCACAGCAAGCTTGGACCAGAAGCCGTCGGTCAGTCGTCGGGCGTCCTATTAAGGGATTGATCGTACGCAACGATCGCAGCATCAGGCGTACCAGAAATAGCCGACGTAGGCCTTGAAGCGTGCGTGATTGGTGACTTTTTGAGTGTCCGAAAAGGCATTGTAATTGGCGGCGAAGAAAAGATCGAAGAAGAGCTCGAGCAGGGTAGGTCCGTCATGCTGGTTCAGCGTGGTCCGGCGTCAGTACATGCTGGCAGTCTCGTAGCGACAAGCGGCAATGAAGGCGGCGATGGCATGGACAGGATTAACCTTTTTGAGCTCGGGCAGCTCGTCAGCAGGGCTGCGCGGGTGTTTGCATTCGTCGTGTTTGTGATCCGACGCATACGCCCCGGTCTGGCCCTGCGAATCGCTGTCTCCGGCACGACGGGCCAGCGGGCTGGAGAAAAAGCGAAGCTTCTCGGCCGGCAGGTGATGGCTCAGCCCCGGCATGGTGTTGTTGCGCTTCTCGAACCGGTTCCCCGGCGCATTCAGGTCTGGTGCTGCGCTCATGGAGCCGAAGGAATCTTGAGTGCAGTGAGCAGGAGAAGAAACATGAATCGATCTGTGGCTTCTTCGATAGCCTTAAGGGTTCGAGGGTAGGTTGGTTGGACTATGCTTGCTAGTACTGCCTCCGTGAAGTATGGATGGAGGCGTTCCAAGCCACCACTCGAGCCGGCGGCAAGTCCCGAAGAGTGGCCAGTGGGTGCTCCTAACCCACTTACGACACAGGCCTCTCTACTCTGCTCCCGGGCTTGCCGAATCCGGCATCGGTGTTTGAGATGCCCAACGAAGCGCATTCAACAGAAGGCCAAGAGCTTGCTGTTGGAACTAGGTTTCATCCTGCGAGAGTCGGAGAGACAGTCTCGGTGGGTCGCTGAGACCCTCAGACGCGACTAGCAGAGTCGATTAATACTTCTATGACGTACTCGTACTTGGGCGTTGGCCAATCCTACGCGAAGGGCTCATGCGTCACTCGATATCTCAATCAACTCCTGACTCTCCGCAGACAGTCATCAAATGGGACTGGGAGAGGACGGGATCTGCATCGATGTATTAGGAATTAACCGCTCGTCCAGGGGAAGCTGCCGAGTATGCTTGTCGAACCGCCACCATTCCGACCCTAATGCATGTGCCAAGAAACCTGCGGCCCATATGCAGGAGATCCCGGCCAGGGGTCCCGGCGGCAGCATAGCGCCCTCGAACAAATTTTCTTGCAACACTTCGTACAACCTCCTAGGACAGTAGGACTTTCAGTTTTTGTGTCGAGTTCAGGCTCTTGAAAGCATAGCTAGGCGGAGCAACTTGATCATCCCGGAACAGCACGCACCGATGATGCCAGGAATCGCGAACCACACTACAGGTTAATGTGCCTGCAATGCTCTTCACTCATTGAGACGGAAACACTCCCCTGCCCAGCTGCTGATTTGACCCATTTTCTCGGCCACGTGGCTGCATAGTGTTCCATTATCTGTTTTCTTAAGGAAATGGATCACAAAATGGGACCATGTTGACTTGAATCACCGGGTGAAAGTGATATGCTAATCAAAGGGTGCGGGAATTTAGCAAATTTATAGTTTGATACTCGAACTTCGAATTGCAATAGTCTCAAACTTGTTGGTTTCATTTTTTTATAAAAAGAAGGCTCTCCGAGCGTTACAAGATTGGTTATGTAAAGCCTTTAACGCGGTCTAAATTGCTTTGGCCGAGTAGTATATTTTCCTTTCTTAATCAACATCTGGCGTAGACACACGGGTGAAGTCTTCCAAGGAACCTTCTCCCTGGCCTACTCACTCAAACATAGGCCTCGTGGTGTTTATCATAATCTTTCATCTGGTTCTCTGCAACTGTGACAGTGGGCACAAACAAGGGGCCACTTCATAATGCTCTTTTAGCTTTGCCTGGCTGAAAGCCCTCGTCGACACGGTCGGTTGCCATAGCTAGAATCGTAAAATATTCAAGACATACCTCTTGCACGGCGTTCGTCATGCAGTATAGTTACGAGTTTGAAAAGCGTTGTTGTGGCAGTACTTGTGCGCCGAGCCGAGTGCAATGTGCCAGGGGTTCACATTTAAGGCGCTCACACAAAGTGCAGCACATTTTTGAGAATCGTTATCACTTGTAGGATACTGCACCCTGGCAAAATGCATTATTGTTGAGCATGGGGTATTACGAGTCGTCGAACTGAAGAAATGCAAAAGAACAATACTGGTGGCCAAATCGACACGCTTGCTAAGGGGTTCAAAGGACGAATGTTGTGTATCGCAACCAAACGGTCTAGGCATATACATTCGAGCTCTTACGAAATTTTCCCCACATATTTTGCAAGTGCTGAATTTGTCCAGGAGTAAATTGGTCAAGGCAAGAGCTATTGTCTTCGTCAGCCAAACCACGGTCTTTGCATGACAAGGTTCTTTTAGTGGCGGAGCTTACTCGTCATAATAGTTCATGTAGTTATGGATAGCGTCCACGCCCGCGATGCTTGGACCCGTACTGTTTTGGCAAGTGTCCCTGGCAGCTGGACATCCGGTGTCCACAGGTTGTGGCCTCTTCTGTACCTCTATCTCGGCTGGTGTGTCGCATACCAAATCTCCACCCTGTATTTCGCTACAACCGCCCATAAAGGTGTGAAAGAGGCCGTTCCAGTGCCCGACCTCGTGGACCGTGGTCTTGCCCTCGAAGGTGGCTTTTCCAGTACCGGGAATGGTACCACCCGGCAGAGTTAGCTTTAGCATTCTACAGCCATCGTCGAAGAAATCGTCCGACTTTTCCGTAACGGTGACTGGGAATGTGCACTGGCCGAGGATAAGTGCTTCTGGCGGTAAACCTGGAGTGGTGATCTTGTCCATGTAGTAAAGGTTGAGTGTCTTATAGTCACCTTTGCGTAACTGTTTCTTCATATTGGATTGATCGTCGCCGTTGGCCCAGGCGGAATTGACCGTTCTGTCGATGCCCTTGAGGGTATATTGCATACCAGTAAGGCCATATGCTTTGTTCAGGACATCCATTTGCTCCTTCAGTTTCGATTCCTACGGCGATGTTAATTCTAATTCCAAGATACAATGTAGGGAGAGAATGCCGTCAGCTAGAGGCTTACAGGAGGATCCTCTTTCTTGTCCTCTGAGGGTACGACGACGTGGATATACGCGTCGACATTGTTCTTGGTAGGTTTATAGTATGGTTCGGCATTGATGCATTTCTTATTGCCTGCAAATGACCGGACTATGTCGACGAGGCTTTTGGGAGGATTTTGATTTCCGCATTTGATAATCTGTATAGCGGCGCAAAGGGGCAGTAAAACCGCTATGAGTAACGCCTGACTCTGGTTGAAAAGGCGCATGGAGATGACCTTCAAGAAAAGTGCTGCTGTAGAGACATTTGGCTTGTGCGTGTATATACTCTCGAGGACATGTTGCTGAGGCTACGACTGGAGGAATCCTTTTCTTTATACATCGAGACCAGCTGGCCTTGAAGCCATGGTGGACCAAAAAGACCCAAATGACGTGCAGAACGCAGTGAACAGGCTCAGTCTTACTGCCAGGTATGCTGTCAGTGCAGTTTTCTTCAAGACACAATTAGGGGCTCTGCTAAGTACGAGCGAAGTTGCTCTAGAGGGGCAATGACCTAATAGAAATAGACATCACTAGGCACTTGATACCGACGTCACTAAAGAGATACCTGTCTGGTCCGTTCGACGTGTATTTCTTTCGTAAAGCACGCCAACAAGAGCCGAGATAAAGTAGGAGCTCTCTGGCACCAGCTGCCTCACTGTCGGAAGGCAGATATAGTAAAGATGTCAGCAACGATCGTATCATACGATTACTATGTGTATTCAGAGGAGCAGGCTGTAGTCGTATCTGTTGCTAAACGCGTTTCAATTTTGACTGTAAAGCACGAGGTTCTTGCACACTCTCGAGCTACCCGCCTCTTATTCCACCTCTGAACAACACTTAAAATCCCAGTGAATTAAAGGGGTTAGTTCGGGCCCTACAAAGTGCGTATCGGGCGCTGCGGCGGCTCATATCCAAGCGAAGCGGGCTTATAAATAAAGTCTTTCTAATCGGAGGAGGACGTAGCATAAGAAACAAATAGTCGGCCAAATACACCAAAGGGACGATAGCGATGGGCTCGTTGAGCCAGTACAATAGGCACTACCAGTATAGGGAGGATCTCTCCGCTTTGGGTATGGAAGACCAGTTCCTCTAAGCCGTCGTCTTAGACCTGAAATAGCAGATGGGGTTGAGTACTACATACTTGAACACCTAACAGAGTCAGCGGGAGAGGACACGACACATTGATGCAGCTGTCGCAGAATACCTGGCAGCGGGGTTTGGCTCCTATGAGTTACACATTCTTAAATATGGCACTATTGGCAGAGATTGGCTAGGAAGTTCTTTATTCCACTTTGGCTTACCTAGTAGCATACCTGTGTGCAGCCATAGCGTGCCACCGTGAGCGAGACACAGTTTGGCTCTAGGTCCGAAAGGTGTCCGTGGAATACGCTACACAGTTGTCGCCTTACCCAAAATGACAGAGGTCCTCTCACATGGTTCTCTATTTAGTAGTACCGGGAGGTTCGCGTTGAACAAGAAGCGCCGAGCATGGCCTGAACGGCGGACGCGAGTTCTTGGATGCGCGCCTCGTGGCCCTGCACAAGAGCGGCGAGGTCGTCAGTCGCGGCCTTGTAGGGCCGGGCAGAGACATCGTCTTGCTTGTTGCTCACGTCGCGCGCGTGCAGCAGCGAGTCGATGGCGAGTATGTCCTCCCCCAGCCGGGCAATGGACGCCTCCTCGCCCTGCGCATGCCGGCTGGTGCAGTATAAGATAAGCGAGTCCATGGGCGTCGTACCCACCGACAGGGCCGGCACGTCCAGTCGCTGGTGGGCCGCGGCAATCTCGCCGGCCGGCACCGTCTTGGGCTTGGCCGTGAGTTCTTAGTGGACGTCGTAGAGGGCGCCGTGCAGGCAACGACAAGCCGGTCCGTGGACGCGAGCCAGGCCCTGAAGGGGTCCGAATCGGGCACATCCTCACGGCCATATCGAGCGCGTCCAGCTCTGCCCCACGCGAGTACTGGCTCTCACTCCAGAGCGGGTCGACGGCCTTGTCCGCGTGCTAGCCGAGGACTTAGTGGCTCTCGCTGGCCTCGGTCAGATATTGCGGCGGCGCGTCGGGAGCCAAGGCAACTCCGTGATACTTGAAGTTGTCGAGAAAGCCAAAGACGTTTGTGTTGTGCAGCCGGAAGTCGGCGAAGAGCTGGTTACTATTGCGGAGCAGGCTGATGTTGACACTCGCGGCGTCGGCGTCGGCGGATCACGCCTCCAGGGGCTTCTTGCGGCCGATGTCGCCCTTCTCCTGCTGCTCAATGTCGTCGGCCTGTCCGCTGACGCCGACGAAGAAAGGCGAGACATCGGCCTGCAGGTCGTACTCGGACGGTATGTTGCCGAGCGTCCAGAGATGGTCGCTCTCGACCACCCAGGCTTGGCACTCACTGTAGTGTTGCCGCGCGGCGGCTGGCCAGACCGAGTCCAGTTCGAGACGGCGGAGGACAACCCAGCACCTGGGGGGCCGGTGGAACTCGAGCTGACTAGCATTGGCCGTTGTGCTCTTTGCCTATTGAGCCCCGGGCTACCTGAAACTGAGGCTGGGCGGGCAGGTCGTGCTTGAGCCGCTCCGGCTCATGGCTGCTGGCCAAGACTGCGCCGGCCGAGTACAGGCCGCTGCGGTAGAGCCGCGGCAAAATCCAGTGCAGGTAGACGCCACAGCAGTCGAGGCGCGCCACCTGCCGGCCGGGAGCGCCGAGATCGATCAGACGCGGGTTGAGGTCCGCCGGCGCGGCGGTGTGCAGGCCGGAGAGGCCAAGAACGTCACTCTGGATGAAGAAGCTGTCAAGGCGCAGGAAGGTGTAGTTGGACTGCAAGATGGGGATGATGCGGGTAACCTTGTCGTCATCGGTTTTTTATCCTCCCTGTATTCAAGCCGTGCCTCAAGGAACCAAGTGACGAAAGGTCTTATTACGCACAGCGTGGAAGCCGCCAGGACTATAAATGCCTTAAGGAACGAAGTAACGAAAGGTCTTATTATACACCGCGTTAAAACCGCTAGGACTATAAATCCTGCCCTCTAATTAGTAATTCTAAAGACCCCCTATAACGAGCTAGGGTTAGTTATCGTTAGCACTTAGACCGGCTGTTACCTTCCTAATAGTAAGTTTTACCTTTTAATTAGTTATCTTAAAGGTACCTCTTAAGTAGAGGCTGAAGAGTATAGTAGAAGAAATATAGGCATAGAAAGGTAAATTTAGTAATATATATCTTAGTCTATCTATTAGGATAAGGGAGGGGCTTATATAGGTATAGTAACTATATATAGCTAGCTAAAAGAGGGTATTAAGATATTCCTATACCTAAGTTAGGCCTATATTATATCCTTAGGCTAAGGGAGTAATATTGACTTAGGCAGGCTCCCTTATATATTACTATTAGGCCTACTAGGCATAATTATAGCTTCTTATACCTACTCTCCTTAATAGTATCTTATAATTAGTTAGGATTAATTATCCTATAATATAAAGACCGACTATTACTATTAGGAAAGTTAATATTAGTATATATACTAGAGATAACTAAATTTTAGCTAATTATAAAAGGGTTTTATAATAACTAATTTTTAGGCAGGATTTTAGAGCTTTAGGAGGTATAGAAAGTTAAGGAGAAGAGAAGAAGAGAAGTAATATAGCAAGGGCTTCTTATAGATGTGGCAAAAGACAACACGGAATTATCGACAACGGCTGGGGGGGACAAGGTAAAAGAGGGGACATTAAGATTCTAGCTATAAGGGATTTCTTATCTGGTTATAAGAGTGTCATGGGGTCAGCCCTTGGTTATTGTTTGGTTGCTCGACCAGACGTTCTTATGTGTGGTTAATTGACGAAGCTGTCCCTTAGTCAATTCTGTTCCCTTTTGTCATACTCATCCTATGGCAGGGGAAGTCCAGTAGCGCGACCACTGCCTTTGCCCTTCCGGGGCAAGGCTCTTACAAGAGCTATAGGGGTGTAAGGAGGAGCATTAGGTAGAGGAAGGAGATAGGAATACAAAGCATTAGCAATGTACTTGGTAGACATACTTTTGCCCTCTAGGGAATCGAGCAGCTTTGCCCTGCTTGTCTAGCATGATACCTTAAGTTTCCCCTTGCAATTTACATGCACTTTCTGCATCTCTCTTCGCGAGATATGCAGTACGTAATAAGACATTTCGTCACTTTGTTCCCCGAGGCACTAGTAGGCGCACCCTGCAGTGTTAAGCACACAACTAATTCCTGAACATTAGTCAGTCTGTAACACACGCTGGGCCGTGACAAGGTCCTCTCTTTCAGGAAGGACAGGTAGCAATTTATACATACACTCTCTTTTAATGCAAAGACTCAATAGCTAATAATACATTCCTAGATAAAAAGGCGGCGTGCCAATCGGGACTATCGCAGTTTTCCTGGAGAACACGACTTTTGCAATGCTCCTTTGTAAGGTATATAGCTAAAGCAACCTTCAGAGAGATGAGCACCAAGGTCTGCCAAACCGTTTGCCCCGCTTGCTGCTTCGCTTCCTCGCCTAGGAGTTCAGGGGTGGTGGGCGGCGGGACATAGAATCCTCTTGTTACGCAAGACAAATTAGTAGAGGAGTGACCGTGGGGCCTAGGGGCCCTATACGCTACGGCCATTCCAACTTGCACAAGTTTTTACATGGTTGAAATCTACTCTACTTAATGTACTGGCTGCTTAAGTGGAGTAATCTTATGAGAAGCCCCATAATTCGAGAGGGCGGCTCTTATTAACAGATGATATGGCTTTTTGTTTATGCACATGGCGGTCAAAGGGTGTCTAAACGGGTTATCTAGACTCAGGAATCACTTTTGGCATGCAAGCAGTGTAATTGCGATTTATGCAGGCTCCCCAGAAGAGGGCATAGAAAATTCTAGTCTTTCTATATATACCAGGTTATTCGTGGCCATTTTATCTGTATTATCAGACAAGTCTAAACCCCTAGCACCTCTTTGATATATCTAAGAAGTCTTGTTGTCATATGTCCTTGAGCGACAAGATGGTTTCCTCTATCCAGTTTCTCATCGCGGCGCTGACCGTTCTAGCGCCAGATGTCCGTGCCGACGTGGGCTGCATTAATTTGCAACGTCCCTTGCCCTACTATACTTCCCACCAGGGGGGATGTTGCAGTCTCGACTTTGCTGTGGCCAAGCGCGACGATAAAGGCCAAGTACTCAACGTTCAATGCGGCGATACCCCTAATACGTGTGAAACTCTCGAGGGCGTGGCCGCGTGTTTTCGGCAACCGGGCGAACCCCAGTGCCCCGATGGGTTAAGAGCCAGTATAGAGTCCTTCCAACAGGGTAGGTGTGGTGTTGAGCCGGGGGCGCCAGCTTCAGGTTACCCTCCCAACAACAACGTTGGATGTTACAGTGGCCGCATCTACGTCAATCGAGGGGAATGTTGCAGCACCGACTACGTTGTGGCCGAGGGCGACGGGTTTCGATGCGGTGATAAACTTGGTACTCTTGCCGCCGACAGCGAACGCCCCGAACATCTCAAGGACGTGCCGGCTTGCAACGGAACCATCGATAAAAACTGGTGTCCTCGCGGGGTGCATGCCTCAGAATGGGCCATCAATAGAGGCGATGTGTGCACCATCAATAGAGGCGATGTGTACACCGATACAGGCTGCTGCCAGGAGATGTACTCGCGCGACAAAGATGGCGTTTGCCAGCCATATATCGAAGGATCTGGCAGTTATGCGGAACTATTTGCAGCACGGAAAGCCGACGGGTGCGAGCTCCCCAAGAGAAGCTGTCGATGCTGCCCCAACCGCAAACACTTTCGAAATGCCAACGGTGAGTGCAGTGAGTTCACCGCCGGAGGAGAAAAAAAGCGAGCTTTCAATGTATGGAGAACTCGCAATGAAATCGGCAAGGGCGATGGGTGCACCGACTACCTGAAACCCGAGGATGTAAGAGACGAGACTCCTTAGATATTAAAGAATATTACTATTTACATAGAAATATCTATATCGGTGGCATCCAAAGCCGCGGCAGGGTGGCTTTCAAGTGCCGCAGGATATACATGTTTTACTTGAGCGGCCTTGTCCTGCTGCGAGACCGTGTACTGGCGCAGCACATCGAGCTGGAGCAGCTCGGGCGCCAGGCCGCGGCCAACAGCCAAGCGCTGCTGGTGCGGCAGCTGCGTGAATACAATCCCCGAGAAGTCGTCGGATCCGGCCACACGGTCCAAGAGTTCAAGAATGACGCCGTCGGCCATGATCTCCCAGCGCAGCAAAGTGGCCCGCCCCGGGCACGTGCCGGCCGCCGGCTCGGATAGGACCGAGACCCGGAGGTCCGGAAACATGTTGACGATGTCAAACCGTAGGTAGAAGGAAGCCGTGCTATCGGGATCTGTAGCGGCTGCGGCTGGTCGCTGGGCGTTTGTTGGATGTATTCGTTGACGGCGGCCTTGATGGCGACGCGGTCGCGGACCTCTCCCGTATGCTTCCTGAGGCTCAGCGCGTCTTCCACCATGGCGTCGACCCTGTTCGGGTCTATGTAGAAGAAGCATAGGTTTTCCGTGCCGAGGTGGCTTGGGTCGGAGATGAGATTTAGTGCGCGGGCACGCCGTGAGAGGTCATGCGATCGAGAAGCCACGCCAGCACCACCGGCCGATCCGCCGACACAGGCGCATTTGTCTCTTTTTAGAGGAAGGCGTCGGCGGCCTAGGCGAGGGCGCGTGCCGCTGTCGTCGCCTGGTCTGGGTACTGCCCCTGAATCGGGTGGGCGCTATTAAAATTATAGCCGAGCCCCAGATGGTCAGTCGGCCGACGCCAGCCGCGGGCGCAACCACCGCTTCGCAGGCGCGCCAGGGGTGAACCTACCGTCGCCATCGCCAAGGCTCGGCGGCAGATGGATCTGGTCCAAGCTGGCCACCGTCGGCGAGATATCGTGCAAGACGTCGGTGCGCAGGCGCAGGCTGTCAGGGGCACCGGCCGCGCGCACGGCCGAGATCTTGGACTCGCGCGCAGCTCCTCGCTCTCTGAATGGTGGCCCTCAGGCACAGGAGGGCGGCGCCATAGCTCTGGTCGCCGAGGGCCAGCGTGCGGCGCACCTGCTAGGTCGCGGCGTAGCTAATATCCATGATGCCGATCTCTTGATCCAGGATCTGGAGGTCCTGGCTCGAGTTTGAGCACGCATTGAGCCCGCTGCAGCCACCCCACGAAATTGGGTGTAAGCGGCCTCCGGTAGAGGACGACGGTCTGCTCGAGCGTCTGGACCGGTGCTTGACCGCCTGCAGCCGGGCTGCAATCCTCGCGGGAACCTGACCAGCCTGCTTGAGTGGCGCGATTACGCCCTCGAGCGGGCAGCGGACGCCGAGCGTCTTGCCGAGGTGCTCCATAGCATCGGCGACGTTGAGCATGCCCGGGGGGTGGGCCATGTAGTTCCAGCTAGGCAGCGAGCAAAGGGCCACGTTGTCCTTGCCGGCACCGGGGAAGCTTATAGCCTTGACGCCCTCGGTGGACACTGGAGACAAGATGCACCGAGACGGAGAAGGGCGATATCTGGCGCAGCGGCCCGCAGCAGTTGCCAACGACGGTTGGGAAGATGCTAATGTCCTCGACGCCGCCGGCGGGGAAAACTGAGGCGCGCCGACGGAAAAAGTCCGTGATTTTCACGTTAAGTTGCGCCCGCGTCCGGCGTCGGCCAACTGACTATCTAGGGCTCGGCTATAATTTTAATAGCGCCCACCCGATTTAGGGGCAGTACCTAGACCAGGCGACGACAGCGGCACGCGCCCTCGCCTATGCTATCGACGGCTCTCTCTAAAACGAGACAAATGCCCATCCGTGCCTAAAAGAACCTTGAGCCCCTTCGAGCAGGCAGCGTGCACCACCCCCTCATTATACGAATTATCAATAAATCAGTCGCAGAGATCACCATTGACGTGTTCGCCATGAACAGCTCGCACCGAAATCACCAGTACAATCTCAATAACCTGCAAGACGAGGTGGCCGCGGTCTCCGTGCCCAAGATGCAGGTTTCTGTCCTCAACCCTCGCTGGCTCCTCCGGGACAAGATCATGTCAACTTGAGCGACATGGCGATCAGAGGGTCAAAACGACTTCGATGACGCCGCCACTCTACTGGGCGTTGTCGACTCCAACTGCCAAAACCTTGCCGGCCACCAGGACGCACTTCGATACGTGCTGCCCCAAAAACCTGTCCTTCGGCATCTATTAGAGCTCAAAGTTGTAGGCCCGGGAAGCCATGGACGGTGAATAAGTTGACACAAGTGTACTGACCCTTGGACAGGACCCAATTGCTATACATGGGTACGACCGGGTGTCTTGAGCGCCATGTCTTCAAATTTGAAGCCAAAAAATCGCGGTACTTAGTTGATTCTCACGGTCGGTATTGTTGCAATGCCGCCAAGATGTTGTGCCATGAGGCCGGCGCCAGGCTAAAAGATAGCCTACTGGCTTTATAGGTGTGACTGTTAGTAAGAGGACGCCATATACCGCACCATTGGACATCTGTCAAGCGGTTAGCCGCTTTCACGGTATTAATCGTCAAATATTACACCATACCAGACAAGGCGACGCCCCAGACGGCACGTAGAAAATTATTTTATTCTAGCTGTTAGGAAAGTATCGCTGATTGTAAACGCCACCTTGGGATAGTCTGCTCAATGCAGTGGCATGGCGTTGCTCATCCGTGAGAGCTCCAGAGATGACGTCTTGAGCAGATATAAGAAAATATTCAATTATTCATTGCCGCGCGACATTCTCTCTCCTCCTGACTGCCAAGTTGATTAAGGTCAATATCCCTGGCTCGGGGAGAGACATATGCCTTTGCATTTTTTCTTGGCGTAACCCGAGCCCGCGTATTTCGAACCGCAGTCTTGCCTTGGATCCTTGTAACATTGAAGTCCCTTAGAACATGCCTGGCCGGGAAGCTCACAGACCTGAGTATTCTTGGGGATACAGATTCCGGGGATATCGCAGGCCATGCCACAACTGCGTGGATTTCGAGGATCATCTACACATGTTGACTTCTGGTCGCAGTACAAGGGCTTGATAGTGTGCCCTCCGCATGCGGGATAAGAGGGCTTATACCCGGTTCTGCGCGAGCCATGGTCGGTCGGTCCCGCAAGGGTGAGGGTTGGAGGGCCGGTGAGGGCGGAAGCGACAACGAAGCCGAGAAGCATTGTTGCGAGGGGGTATGGCAAGGGGGTAAAGAGGTGTTGGTAAAGCAACAATAGCCGGCCTGGTATCAGAAAGAAAGGATCAGTGGAGCTACTATATACCTAGGGGGCCTGACGACAAAATGCGACTGTCTCACCTATGAGAAAATGCACATTCCAGGCCCTCACCTGATGCACTTATGCGAAGATGGACGAGACGGACGAGTTGCCCGCGAGACTTTTTGACCAATTCAACAAGACCTACCCCAGACTCTTAACGTCAGTGTTGATATATTTGACTCTGGCCCACCCACAACAGACGCCCGAGTTGTCTTAAGCGGCTCTCCCTCGATATTAACGTGTGGATGAAAGGATGGCTATTCCTTGACTGGAGGAAGGCGTCTAGGGGGGGTAGGTCCATATATATCATCACGTCTTCTCGGCAAACCTTTCGAAACCAAGCCTAAAACACGAAAAAAGCATACGCTTAGAACTATCGCGAATAGCGTATTGCGCCCCCCTAAGTATAGCCTCGTGTAGCTACTAGCGGGTGCGTAATATACTGCCGAAGATTGCGAATTAGGCGAGGTTCTCCCCTATACGGGTAGAAAACTTATCCCCGCCCTCGCTAACTAAGGGTATATGCCCCCCGCTAACGGGACCTAGCCCGGACCCGACCTAGGACCCTAGCCTAGACCTAAGGAGGGCCCCTATAACCCTACCCCTTAACTTAAGGGCTAAAATAAGTACCTTAGAGGCTAGGGCCCGCTTAAAAGAAGCTTTAGAAGGCTAACGCCTTTTAAAGACCCTAGAAGGAAGGCCTAGGACCTAAGACTAGGACCTAGAGGATAATAAGATAAAAGATAATACCTAGCCTATACTAAAGACTAGCCTTTTTAGGCCTAGCCTAGCCCTACCTTAGGCTAGCTACTTCTAGCCTAACTAGCCCTTAAAGTAAGTAAAGGGGTAAAAGAAAGCTACCCTTAGTAGCCTTATTAGCCTTATACCTATTTAACTTATATTTTAATACTTATAGTAGACTTAGCCCCGGCCCTAGTACCCCTTCCCTAGGGACCGGGCTTAGAGCTTCCTTTAGTAAGCCTTCTAGGCCTTTAAGGAAGCTTAAGAAATCGACCCCTTTTATAAGACCCTTATAAAAGGGCTTAAGGAGGCAGCTATAAGGACCCTAGATAGCTAATTGCCCCTATAATAGCCTATATACTAGCTTAAGGCCGCTTAGTAGCTTAAGGCTACTTAAGGAAACTTTAAAGCGAGCTTATAAGCTAAGGTTACTATAAAAAATAGGCTTAAGGCCCTAGCTAAGGCCCTAGCTAAGGCTCTAGCTAAGGCCCTAGCTAAGAGGAATGTAAAAGAGGACTTTTAACTTATCTTAAAGCTAAAGAAGGGATTACTAACGCTAACTATTAACCCTATTACTCTTTATAACGAGCTTAATAAAGCTATAAAGGAACTAGCTATATTAGCTCTATCGACTTTAAATAAAGGTAATATGGTTATAACGTTATATAGTAAACCTTCTAAAGTAGTAGGAGAAGTAGTCCCTATACCTTAAGGAGCTACTTATTAAATCGGCCGACCTTCTTACTAGCTAGACTAAGCTAGTAGCTTAAAGCGTCCCTAACCTCTTAAAGACCCTTATCCTCGATATCTTCGCTATAAAAGCTAAAACCTTTAGTAGGATCGATATCTTAGGGCAGCCTAGGTAGCTAGGTACCTTAGGCCTAATATAGAAGGTAAGATCTACTATCTTTATAGTCCTTTTAAGGGCTATAAGGGCCTAATACTAGAAAAAAAGCCTTTATATAATAGGCCTATAGATTTAAGTTAAGGCCTATAAGGAATATACTATATATCTATAAGTATACTATTTACCTAGAAAGGTACTTAACTAAGGACTATAACTACCTTAGCTATAAGGCTAGCTAAAGCTACTCTTACTTTAAGGTCTAATACTATAATTATAAGGGAGAGTACCTTATAACTAATAAGGTATAATATAGAGTTTATAAGGGAATAACTAATACTTAATAGCCTTAGCCCCCTTATACTTATAGGGCCCTTAAAGCTCCTTAGGCCCCCTAGGCCTAACTATAACCTTATTAGTATTATATAGTATAATACTAATAAGTAAGAAATAGCTAACTTATTAATCTTAAAGTAAGCCTTAAAAATAAAAGTAGACCTTATCTTATTATAAGAGCCTTACTTTTATAAGATCTATAATAGCTATATCCTTATATAGTATTTAGCTTATAACGTTATAACCCCTATCCCTTTTATTAACTTTCCTACGCTCGCTAGGAGGCTTAGGGTTATAGCTTATAAAA